GCATTTGTAAGTATGATTTATATAAATAAGAGTTTAATCATTCTAGATAGTTTTCACTTTTAGATTTATGTATTATCTTTAAGTGGATTTCTCTCTTATTTCTAGTGTTACACATGATCACATAATAATTATTGAACAATTGTTTCATTCATAGTGAATGGATTGTTTATTATTAACTTCTTATGTATTACATCTTTCAAATCTTTTTTGAATAATTTTAAATATTCTACTTCATTCATAAGCATAATCAATGCTTTATAATCACAAAATTTCTCAACATATTCATAATGTGTACTATATGTTTTGAATTTTACAATTTTATTTTTTCATTTTGAAGAGATTAAACCTTAAAAAAAATTGTAGAATTTTTTGTTGCATTTCATTCTATGAAAGTGAAACATATTAATCTAACAACATTTCATTTCAAGTATTGTGAGAGATAAAAGCTTTTAATTGTGAGATCAGAACCTATCAACATCATTACAATAAAATCCAAAATTTAAAAATTAGACAAATATTTATTCATTTTCATGATTAAATTTTATAAAATTATATTACTTTCCCTATTGATTATATTACTTTCTCTATTTTGTATGCTCTTGTGTTACATGATTTTTTTATTTGAAGCAAAAGATTTGATTGATTTTTGATATCTTATCTTATTAATCAATTTATCCACGATATCTATAAAATCAATTACATTCAAATTTAAGTTTCTACTATCAATTGTCATTTTTTTACTCAAGAAATTTGTTTCTTTTGATTTGATGCTTTTTATTTCCTTGTAAAAATTAGAAATACAAAGCAAAAATTTTCTATTCAAATTCAAATAATTTTTTTTTATTAATTTTTACGTATTTAAAAGCTAAGTCATATGAATTGACCATACAAACTATTTTATTCATTGTTGTCAGTCCAATTAAGTGTAGTGTGATAATTATGAAAAAAATTGAAAAAATTTACAAGTTTTAAACATAATCTTATAATGAACCTATAATTTTTTTAACACATTTTTTAATAATTTTTTTCTACACTTTATTTTTCCAATAAACTATTTATAATCTTAACATATATGTTGAATCAAATTGAAAACAGATGATACTTGATTCAAAGCATCAAATATTAGATATATACTAGAAATGATGCATTTTCATGTCTTTATATAACAAATAATTTAATTTTGACATTATCACTTTATTAATAATTTTTCATTTTTCTGTAGCACAAATGTCTTTCATATATGATGCTTGATCATGAACAAGGATAAATGTCAAATGAATAAAAATCTAACCATTTTTATATCATATTTTTATCATGAAACTTTGTAAACATAAAACCAAATTTTTTGTTATTTTCCTACGTGCAAATTAGAGATTTTCCTACGTGCAAATTTGCTTGCTTCTATATACTTTAAAAAAATAATTTTGTAATAATTTTCATGTTATTTTATGAAAAATAATTATTTCAAAAAAAAGAGCAAGGTAATTTTGATATCATAATATTAGTAAAGATTATGAAAGAAGCTCATTTGAAGATGAAAAATAGATCAACTCTAAAGATGAAAAATACTTGAATGAATGTATTTTTCCTTATATAAATTTTCTCAACATATAAAAAGAACTAAGATCTTATTGTCATTATTTTCACTCCTTGTGGATTGATGAAAAAATTCTTTAAATCATAATGCAGGTTTGAAAAATAATAATGTATGGTGATTAATATTTTATCCATATTGTGATGTTCAAGTGATGTCATTTCACATCATTTTTTGATATTTTCAAACATCAAAACATGAATGTTGTGGAATCAATGTTAAGAGATTTGAACTTAAAACTTTATTTTCAAACACTATTTTTGATCCACTGCCCTACAATTTGTGATATCTATGAGATAAAATTAATTTTTAGATAGAGAAAAAAATTATCACATAATTATGTTATGATCGTAATTTACAGTAAAAAAATGTTGATTTGAAACAATCTCACAGTTTTAATTTTAATTATCCATATTCAATCAAAAAAACTTGATAGAGACGTAAAGTGCTGATGACGATAGTATCATGTAAAAATTGATAAAAAAAAATTTGCTAAAAAAACAAAACTCTTTGTTTATTTTCTTATTCTAAATATGTTGTTGAAAAAGTATATGTTAGATTATGATATGCAAAGTAGTTAAATCCGAAATTCAACCATAAATTGCTTAATTTATCATACTTTTAGTATTGATTTTACTCTTAAAAAACAAAACGTTGGCAATAAGTGTAAAAATTTTCAACAATTATCAATGATTTATAAATCAGATGTAAATAATTATTAAATAAGTATGAATAATTTCTATAAAATTTGAGTGATATCATATACTCTCTTTAATGTTGATTGTTATTTTTCAACATTAATGTTGAGAAATAACAATCAAGTGATGTCATTTGACATCACATTTTTTACATTGCTCAACATCAAAGAGTGAATCTTGTGAAATCATTGTTTTTAGATTTGAATTCAAGTATTTTGATTAATGCATTGAAATCATTGTGATATGCTTCATAGACTATAGGGCATGATCATAATATCTCAATGTATAAGATTAAGATATTGATTTCAAATCTTTAACAATGATATCATAACATGATGTGAAATGACATCACTTGATTGTTATTTTTCAACATCAAAAAAAAATATAATGATATTTGTGAAAATAGAAAGCAATCTTGCAAAATATTTCTTATTTGATATCTTTTTTCTGATGAATTATTTTAAATAAAAAAATTATATTTTTTACTTTTCAATATTGATAAATTTTAATATTTTTTAAAATTATATCTATTTTTCTCATGCTAAGAATTGAAATGTCATTCATATGTGATATTGCCCAACATCAAAGTGATGTGAAATGAAGATCATTGAAATGAAAGTTTAACATCAATACAAAAGATGTTGTGATATGATTATCAAGATATGTAAATCAAGTTCATTTTTTTAATTATAAATTTTCTGAATGATGGCGATGGTTTTCATATTATATTTTTATCATTTTTATATGGATTATTCTCATTTCAAAGATACATTAATTAATTTAGTAAATCTAGTTAAAAAATTTAAATGAATTTATTTGATTAATTGTATCAATCTTTTATTATTGTATAAATACATGAAGTATGTTGGTTTTAAAAAGATTCAAATTGAAGATTTTTTAGTAAATTTTATATGTATACATAGGTTTAAAAATTGAAATTATTTCCTTTGAATTTTAAGTATTTGAAATGATCATCTAAATCAAATAGAATTAAAGAAAGTAACACGTACGATGCATACAAGCCACAGTCTGAAATAATATTTAATAGAAATTTGGTTCTATTGATTGAAAAAAATAATTTTTTGAATCAAATAATATATATCAGCATTTGTATCAATTTTTATAAAGTATTTGGTGTAATGTCCATGCATGATATACTTGAATAATTTTCAATGGAACTTTTAATTATCTTACCTCACTAATTTTTCCCTCTTAAAAAATAATGATCAAGGAAGTTACATGTATAATTTTTAGCAGTTCAGATGATTGGATATAAAACAGATATATTTACAAAAAAGCCACAGTTTTGGAGGCGAACAATGAAACGATGATCGTGACCGGAATATGATAAATAAACCAAATTATGTTAAAAGTATGTACATAATGAACATGTAATTCCCTTAGGGAAATTTATGTATATGATGATAAGAAAACTACTTCAAACTTGAAGTATTGAAAAGATAATGAATAATTTAATGAGGCAAAAAATATTTTCCATTTAATGAAAACTCGTCCAGAAAAAAAACAAGGAACTTTTATTTAGAAACAACCTGTAAGATTAAAAGAAGCAAATTTGGAATTTCGAAGGATTTGATAGAGAATTGTATAATGCAGAAAAAAACTTGGAAAATTTAAAAAATATGTAATTGGTATTAGATTTAACCCTTATTGACGTAGACTTCATTGAAGACTCTTAAAAGAAAAGAAAAGAAAAGAAAAGAATACAATACGACAATGTTTCCATGATAAAAATTATTGAATGTAATTAAATTTGAAAATAGGTATTTCAGAAAATAGTTTTAATAACTAAAATAAATGCATCAATTCAGAAGCATTAGTAAAGTTCTTGGTAACATACGAGTTTCTATCTTGATTTTTCTACGATATCTGAAAGATGCAGATCAATCTAAGGGTACAAGTGAAGACGGAGGACTATCTGACCATCCATGAAGGAGTCGGCACGCTCGTTCGAATCAGTCTGGCTGCAGGTAAAGTGGTAAAAGCTCCGATGCCTCGAACGCTATTTGTCGTCATCGAGACAAGCTTTTACTGCCTTCTCTCGCTGACAGGCAGGCATCCTTCCTTCTCATGCCGGGTCCGCCAATTAATTTCTCACCACCGTACTGCAAATTACTCGCGTGCTACCAGTGGAGGTGCTGAGCAGGGGAAAATGATGGGAACAATGGCATTGGGCGAGGTCGGAAAGTACAGACGACGCAGTAAAGAATCGGAGCCCCGTAATCAATGCTCGGGGTTGCGGTTTGGAAGAATGCGAAAAGGACTTACGAGACTCTGTGACCAACTTAAGTTGGTGGTGGTTCAAAGAGCAGAGCAGAGAGCTGCCGCAGTGTCCGTCTGACAGTGAATCACGTCTAGCAGCCGCAGAAACACCACATTCCCATTCTGGAATCAATTCTGACGGTTACTCGATTCTCGAGAGAGAGAAGTGTACGTCCGGGCTTCTTCAACACTCTGCGCAGGTTTGCTCTGCACCCTCGTGTTTTCTGCTGTCTCACTGCACTGTCAATTTGGTCTGAAGAGGGAAAGCATCAACAGCCCCACTAGCAGCACCAAGGGGTCCAGAGAGTGACCCACTTCGAATGCTGGCGTATATCTGTTGTCGGCCTTAGCTTCTCGGACCTTACAGGTTTGTCTTAAGCGATGGCTTCAGAATAGCTGAAAGTTTCGATTGATCATGCTCGGTACGAACGCTTGGAATCTGCTGTGTTCTCCTCCCTCGCCCCCACCCCCACATTGAATGGACCCGGCTTCGTTGAGATTGTAGAACATCTTCCAATCAGGAGGCCAGGCTGGCTAGGGCGACCGCTGGCTGAGTCGGGTCGGATGAGGGATGATGTGAGAACATTCTTGCCTTCGAGGGAATCTTGATGTGCTCTTTTGATTTCATGTTTATCAGTTTCGACAATCTGGATAGGGGGTAAAAAGCGGGATCGTATACGTCCAGCGACTCCGCTGATACTCTTGTTCGTCAGTCAACATACGAGAGCTGTTCGTTCGGTCGGCAATGTCGGTACAGACGGTACGTGATCATTTGTGGGGAATGACTCTCGGTTCAGACCCGAGAGACTACTTGGCTTAGCTTCATTGAGTCCTCGTTCATCGTCATAAGATTTGATGATCAAGATAGGGTTGAAGGCGGCAGAGGCAGAGTGTCCAGCTGAATGCTGCGATTGTCGCTTGTCATGAGATGCTTCCTGGCTGTTGTCCGTGTCCATGAGCTGAGCAGTCGGGGAGAGGGCCTATTATTTTCTATTTAAACGGGGTCCGTCCCCCTTCGTGCCTCCTGCTTCCTGCTTCTGTTCTGTATCTTTCATTCGTTCGTGATTCCTCGTGAGGTGATTTTGCTTCTTCGTTCCCTTCCCTTCCCTTCCCTTCCCTTCTCTTCATCATCATCAGCATCATCATCATCATCGTTCTGCAAGGGTGATTCGAATCGGTTGGAACCATGGTGACCTTGGAACAGCATGTGGTTCGGTCCGGGAAGGTCGGGGATCAGAGTGTCGAGGATTTTCTCGAAATGCTGGAAGAAGAGGGGTTCAGGCGAGAAGATCCATACGACCCGGAAACGATGGCCAAGTACCTGCCGAAGGGATGGAAAGACCACTGGAAGGTCAAGTACGCCGCAGTTTTCTCCAAACCCCGGCAACTGCGATTCGGAAGGCCAGGCATGGAGGAGTTTCTGGCCTGCGTAGAGAACGTGATCGGGAACCTAGAGCAGCGAGTGGCAAGCAGCTTCATCTTCAGGACCGTGTTCTACGTGCTGCTCTACACTTCCGTCTTCGACGTGATCAGAGTCACTCTCCTCACCGCAGATCAGCTATGGCCCTTCGAGATCCTGACTTCCTTCAACGATCCCGTCGTCGCCATGTTCACTGTCCTCATCGCCCTGCCGCTGTACATTTTCTTCTTCCTGTATCGCCTCATCTGCCCGCTCGTCGTCTCCTACTCTCTCTACAAGCTCGTTCGTCACCCGGAAAGCTACAAACACTAGGAACGCATCGGAACAGGCCGCCGCCGCCTCGTTCATGCTCTCAGCTCTTCGCGAGAATTTCGCTCTCGATCTGAAATACCCCGTTCATACTGTTACGGGACATATTATAAATTGGTAGCCACCCGGAGCGAGCTCAGTGTGGGAACATTCGGTTCAGCAAAAGCCGCACCGACTGTCAATGTATATGAGGACGATCTCCGCACTGCTCGGCGAGCTTCTTAGGATCATCCGCCACGAACAGAAGGGCGCTGATGGCTTCAGGGGAGGTTGAATGACGATGGGAGGATGATCAGGTTCTTCCCTCGGTTCCTTGCCGAGCAGCTGCTCCGGAGGGAATTCAGGTGGATAATTGTCTAGGATAGAATTTTTTAGGAAGGTGGAGTGGTTCGGAGGCATTCAGACTGTGTACTTTTTTCCAGGAGCTCTTCAGAAGCATCAACTGCTTCTGAAGATGGAGATGTGCACCGAGCCAGCAGACAGTCTACTCCACCTCTCTTTGTATCTAAGGAAACGCGCAATCACCGATTCGGTCGCCGTATTCTTCGAAGTGCACCGTGTGGAAGGTATCGAGTGATACACTTCAATGAGCGCCATGTATGAATAATTCGTGCATTCTCCCGCATCTTGATGATCGGCATCAGGTCTCTTTCAACCCTTTTAGAATTGATGACTATCCTCACTGCTCAGCGAAGCGTCTAGAATTATGTGCAAGAGTTGCAAGTGGCTGCCGCCTGGACGGATGCCAATTTCTTATCACTCATTTGTAGAAACGTTGGATTGGCAGGCGGTTCCCAGCCGAAGTTGGAATCTCCTCTAGCGAGGATCATTGTGAAATTGTTTGCAGTTGAACATTGCAAGAGCTACTGATTTCATTTGTGCCTTACTATTACAAAGCACGCTAGTAAAGCACATTCTTGTATATTTCACCAGAATTCAGTGTCGTAAAGGACGATGGACGTGAACATAATATATTTCAATCATAATGAAGCTCTAATCGTTGCAAGGAGTAAATTTCTAGGATCCACTTGCAGATTGACGGTGACGATTCTGGGTCAGTGTGCACGGCGGGCGCAACAGCTCCTGAGCAGCGACGTGGACAATGTAGGCGATAAGAATCAAGTTCCTGCTCCCGGAGAGCTTCTGTAAGGCGAAGAAGGTTGTCGGATTGCACATCTGTACCAACTAAAGTGAAGTGAGATCAGACAAAAGCATTCAGAGCCAGTGTCGGTGCGGATCCCAGTGGTATCGTGCCGTCACACCGACATCTGCCTTGCGAGCGGTTGAAAGGAGCTCGCTTCTCGATCTTGCGGTTAGTAACCAAGCTGAGCTCAGTTCGAGACAACTGTTCCGCATTGTCGATCGCGCGACTCATGTGATGACCAAGAACCATTTGGATGAGGCTTGATCTCTGCGATGGTGGGTCTGGCAGTTGAAAAGTAGGCTCTGTGTATTGTGGTAATCTGATATGTTTGTCTCAGTTTCACCCTGCGTCTTCTTCGCCATATTTACTCTTCGCGAGACATTTTACTGGGAGAGAGTACACACATTCAATTTGACATCCTCTAGAACACTTTAAAATGTAATGTTCTGGACTGCTCTGTAGGACGAGTATTTCCCACGTGTACGAACGAATGCACCGGAAGATGAGTACTGAACAGCAGAGAATGATCGAAGCTACCGAAACGCTCTGATTAGGTCGATGCCACACGCTACAAATTGAGTAACGTTGGCTTTCAATATATTGAGCTAAATGTCTTAGCTAGATACCTGCGTCGTACTGAGTTCCAGTATTGTAAGTTTTGCAAACGACAAGGAAATGTTAAATGAAAACAGAACACTAATTCTATGTAGATGCATTAAGTAAATTGTGTGAATACCGGAAGTAAAAATCAGTATTTTATTTTATTGTGTTTAAGTCTCACGGAACACAAGCACTTTACCAAATCCAATCTGAACGTTCAACCAAGCTTTGCACTTTACATAAAGTGATTAAATAGAACGTACGTACAAAATGACTCTTCATTTCCATAAACATATTGATTTACAGAGAATGTGGTGGCATTAAAGGAATTTTTAAGAAGTTTTAACGCTGGTGAACTATTTCTTCATTATTAAAAATTTCAAGTCTTAGTTCATGTAACAGTACATTAATTCTTTTCTTCTTTTCCTTCTCGGTTGAACTATAACGCATTTACAGATTGATAGATTCCTTAATGTCCGAATTTGAATGTGGAAGAAATCTGAGAAATATTCTTAAATAATCAAAACATTCAATGCAGTTCAAGTTTTAGAAAATTCACCTCAATGTATACAACATTCAAATCCAGCCAAAAATATAATATATTAATACACAGAATATGAATTGAATTAATCTTTTATATATAAACAACTAAGATATTATTTAATGATTAAAAATCTTTATGTTGATCCATTATGATCAATAATTTTTATCTATGATATATTTAAGTTCAATACATCAGTAAATTATTTAGAATTTGAACTCACCTTAGATTTCAAAATATATTTCTAACTCAAAAAAATTTCTCTCAATCTCATCATATATATGAACTCAAAAATTTGTAGTGAATAAAATGATTTATGATATCATACAATAAGTGGAAATATTTTTTAAAAACTTAAATTATTGTATTAAATTTTATCAAGATTAAGTCTAGACCTAACTATTAATTCTTTTCAAATAATTCCACTTAAAAAATAATATTTAGTTGCTATTGATGGACTAATTTTGTCTTTGAAAAAAATATTTCTAGGTTGTATACTCAATTTCAGGAGTGATTCGAGAGAAACGAGTCGTGAGATTCATAAATCTTTTTTTATGAATATTGTGTTGATTGCAATTTGATTATGTATTTCATATTGTATAGCTACTTAAAATTACATCTTCTAATCCAAAAATGAAAATCTAATGATTTTTTCAACAAACAGACAATTTCCAATTGTATACTTAGTCATCTTTGAGAATCTTTTGTAATTTATTGAGAAAAACTTCAAATTAAATATAAAATGGTAAAGGAAAGAATTTTTAATATTACATACTAATGTAATCAATTTATGCTATGAGTTGAGCAGAAGCAAACTATTAGTGCATATTTCAAGCTAAAATATTTTCAATGATGCAAAAGTGGAAAGAACATGGTACATATAATTTTTGAATTTAGTGAAATACTTCAACCTTTCAATAGATTTATTATTTATTCAATCCATCTATTGCCAGTGATTATCTTTTCTACAACAAGTAGACCTACTTCCAATACATTCTTTGATCAAACAATAGTGAATTGTCAGTAAATCGACGGTTTATGGGCAGAGGTTTATAAAGGTAGGGTAACCCTTTACCATTGCAAAAGACAGAGTTCATGGCGCGACTCGTCAAAGCATGAAGTAAATTGTCGAAGCGAAATGAAACAAGTCTAAGCGTGAAGCCAGGCTCGTCGAAGCGTCAAGCAAATTTCAAGTCGACTTTAAACCGTAATTTAGTGTGAAGCCAATAAAGTTGTGTCTTGGTAGTGGCTTTGCTCACAAAGCCACTGGATTATCGTCAGTGTGAATGTACTTGAGATCAACTTTCCCCTCCAATAGACTATCCTTGATGAAATTTGTGAGCAAACCCGCTGGGTTCTCGTCAGTGTGAATGTACTTGAGATCAATTTTCCACTCTAACACACTATACTTGATGAAATTTGTGAGCAAGTCCGTTGGGTTCTCGTCTATGTGAATGTATTTGAGATCAATCTTCCCTCTAACACCCTTTCTCTGATGAGATTATGTTTGGTCTTGGCATGGAACAGAGGATTTTTGGCTAGCTTAAAAGCACTTTGGTTGTCGCAAGATAGGTGCAAATCTGTCATGGTTGGTGTCCCTGAGATCTTGAATTATCGTAGTATTAGGATAGGTTAGCGGAACTTTAAGAGAAGTAATGATTCCCAATTCTTGTGATAACCGCCTGAGATACACAACCTCTTTGTCGCCTTCCGACAAGGCCTTTTATTCCGCGTCAGTTTTGCTATGGGAAATGTTGTTGATTAGACGACCAGGAGACAAGTCCAATACAAGCTCCAACGGATCTGCAGGTATTAGGACAACTGAGTTAATCCATGTCAATATAACCTTGATATGCGGTTCTGCTATGGAAAATGTTGTTGCTTAGACGACCAGGAGACAAGTCCAATATAAGCTCCAACGGATCTGCGGGTATTAGGACAACTGAGTTAATCCATGTCAATATAACCTTGATACGCGGTTCTCTTTTTTCGTAAAGCAAGCCAAAGTTAACGGTGCCGTTGAGGTACCGTAGGAGGTACATTTGAACACAAGGCCTCCCAAAGAAACTGACTCCGTGATATATGTTTTAAGTCCCGACTTGTCAGTATCGCGACTGTATAGTTCCATCATGTTATCAATATTCATAATGAAATTCAACAAATTCTGGAGTTCAGAGATCAAGCGTAAGAACAGCGTGACTAAATTTCGTACCGTATTCACAGGTATCGAAACCCTGTTTCAGAAAACAAGACATTTTATTCTATTTACCCAGGGTGGCCAATTCAATGTATGGACACCATACGCTACACCCAGGTAGCACGAAAAGAATCAGAAAAAACCATAACACTCTTCAGCTGGCCTACATCTCTGTCAAATTTCAATCTGCTAGACTAACATCATTGCTGTTAAATGGCCGATCACGTGTGTATGCGTACTTCGGATTAAGAGCTTGTTTCAATTGGCAACAGCACTCTGCAGTCAATTTGTCTAAAAAAATAACCACGGCAGAAGTATGGATTGATCAGTTTTCAAGACTGCATAACAGATCGAGTTATCAAAACCTTCATGAGATACTTAACTTCAGAAGTTCGAAAGAACTTTCCTACAAAATGAGTACGAATGGCTCGAGAACATTCACGGAATAAGACACAGGCCTCTGGACAAAAATCACACATGCATAAATGGTCCAAACGACATCCAGAGTTCGTCAGTCTTACTGACTGCCAGAAGCACAGCATGCAATTGCGTTGCGCAAAGGACATGGAACATTAGCTGGAGACACAACAAGCTTTAGAATCTGCTGGAGATCCCATCGGATCTCGCCTGAAAGTATTTCTCTTTTGATGTTACGTTTCAGTACAAGTATGTGGATGCAAATAAACTAAATATCGTGACAACGACCCTGACCCGACTGCCTTTAGAATCTAATTGCTGGTCGACGAGATTGATCGGCCGTGCGCATGGCAGTGTTTACCGCCTGTACAAGCACCCATGACTACATCTCCGCGAGCGATCTTGCTATCCTGGAGTGCAAGAGCTAATAGCGTGAATGGATATTTCGAATGAAATGAGCTCACAACCCGGGCCGGACCGTCTCTACTCCCCTGGGGAGAAGTAAACATTCGTGTAAAGTAGATGATGGAGCGAAGGGGCAACCTTGGACAAGGCAGGAACTAGGAAATAAATATGCTAATGCTGGAACACATTACACGTGATGCATACTGGCTTTTGGGGTCGAAACATTGGAAGGAGGAGGAGAGGGACTGTCAAAGTGAGCGCTTATTCCAAGCTCTGTTACAAGGTCGGCCAAATATTTGGCTTTGGCAACTAATTCTATCAGAAGGGAGGCAAATTTTATCAGGGAAAGAGCAGATATCCTGGCTTTCGTTTCTCGTTTCAGTTCTCGCTTCCTTGCTTCATCCAATGGTTGATACCTGCATAGATAGACACCATACATACGTCAAAAACTACAAGACCTCACAAGCACTGGTACAATCCAATCCTTGCACTGGCATGCGTGTTCAAATGAGCTACGATCTCCAATTGCATCGCAGGCTGGCTGGGTCCTTACCCTTCTACGACTCTGCCATTTGCCAAGAACGAATGGGTGGGGGTAATGGTAGGAGTGATCAGGTAGCCCAGTGTCTGTGCTGGGGTATTCATCACGGACTCTGAGTAAGAAAACGGGTAAGCCTCATCGAAGTCCGGTACCTCCACCTCCTGAAAAGGCTTGTCTCCCGGCCGAAGGTCGTGACCAGAATGGCTTTTCATAGCGCCGCCCAATATGACCTGGCTGTGTTTGGCTATCTTGTGTTGGAGAAGCATAACCCAGTCTTCGGCTTGCTTCAGATGGTCTGCACAATCGACTTGACGCATGCGTTCGAAGCTCTCGCCCAGGAGATTAAAAATCCTGCAACATCCGTAGACCTAACAATTACTCGACGGAGAGATCCCATGCAGATTCAGAATTTCGAAAAGAGGTGCTCAAAAGGAGAAGATTGAGGGAGGGAGGTCGAGGAAGCTTACTCGGCACATGCTTTCCCTATATTCGTAATCTCCTCCTTGCAGAAACTGCGCAGGTCGTCGGGGGCCTGGATCTCAGCACGCAGACATGAATCCAACGCTATGACGTCGTAGAGCGTGTACCGCAGGTTATCTGCCACATCCGTGTACATGTCCCACGGATATCCATAGAAGAATCTCCCGTGACACGGCTCGAATGGCACTGCTTTCAACTGCCCCCCAAACCATTTTGTCAATTATGGTCTCAAAAGTTTTCTGTGGATTAATCGGCCAAGATCAACGATTGTAGCAATCAGTCCACTTCAAGAGACTGACCCCATTGCTTAGCATTGCATTGCGGGAAACCAAAACCAAGTAGACAAATCCAATGCGGAAGCGAAAGCCAAAGCTCATCAAGCGGCAAGGAGACATTAAGAGAGTTCGCGATGCTCACAAGCTTATCGCAGTCGGCGTCCGTGGCGACCATCTCCGTGAAGGACTTGTGGATGTTGTCGTCTTGCTTTTTGCCAGTCAAAATGTCTCCCACTTGATCCAGCACTTTGCCGTCCAAGTAGAATGACACACAACGCTCCAGAACCGTGCCGGCCTTTTTGAAATTCTTGCCAACCAGCTCGTTGATGCTCGACCCGGCATATTTCGGAGCGATGCCCAAGTTGACCAAGGACATGGTCAGAAATCCGATGATAATTGTCGCCAGCCGAATCAGGGGCAACACGACTTTGTCCTTGTAATCGGATTTGGAAAGGATCAGAATGTGGAAAGTGATCATGGACATGGCAACTGCATAATTCCATCGGTCCTTGAAGGGGCGCCTGAACTTGAACATGGTGGCCAATCCGGCTCCAAAGAACACCCAGCCCATGATGTAAAAGGGCTCATACACTCCGAGGTACACAGCGAAGTAATTCACTCCCAAAGCCAGAGCTGCTGCTGCCAGTGTGCCGAAAGTACGATTCAATCCTTTGCTGATGGTGAGCCCCACATTCGCTTCCAGGACCACATCCGCGGTCACCACCGCCCAGACCCCGTTCCTGTTGAAGATGTGAAAAGGAGGCGGTGCGAAGCACAGCAGGGAGCACAGTGCGGCGGCCAGCCCTGCCTTGGCAGGTTGCTTCGAATTCTGCAACTCCTTGCCGATTTTGCCCAAGTACGCGCCAATCGAACTGATGATTCGAGATACAAAGCTCTCGACGCGGGCCAAGTCTTTGGCCGGACTCTGACCTGCTCCTGAAGCGATTCCGTTCCCATTTTGCTGAGGCGTCTGTGGAGCCACATCGTTCACCCGGCTCTGATCCTCTCCGTTCAGCAGAGGCTGCCTGAGTGAGTCCGCCATCCCTAATCGGTTGGTCACTCTTGTTGTTGTTGCTCGGCCTTCCACATCTCAATGATATTCGAACCAAGTCTGATCGCAGGACGACCTCTCGTCGGACGCGGAACGAAGCGAAGAAAAGTGCCAGCTCGAGAAGCGGAGCTCGGAGCGTTTTACAACATCATCAGACGAGTTCGATTTCGGGTTCGAGTTACTTTACAATATCATGTCGGACGGACCGTTGTTTGCCAGGGTGCTGTGGGGCGATGATCGCTCGAGAGCACATCCGTGAAGCACAGCGCGATCAAACCCGACACATGCACAAGGCTCCAGGAGATCAAGCCTGCTTATAAGCGTCTGAAATTCACTACAGCACTGGAGGGAACAATCTGCACAAAGCAGACAATATCCTCCTCCCGACGTGGCTTCCAGACCTGCAACTCCGGCTGACGTGCTCTTCGCAGAGGCGCACGGCCCACAAGAGACCTCCGCGAGGTCTCCTCCTTCCTCTGCATTGTTTCCGCTCCAACAGTTGCCCCACCACCTCCAGACTCAATCGCTCGCCATGTCTGCTGCGGTCTCTGCCCACAGAGCAGGTCGCACTCGTCCTGGTCACCCGCACATGTCTGCACCGCCACCGAATTCACGACACTAAACTCCGCTGCCGAGATCGACCTTCTGAAATCCGTGACTTCCTTCTAAATTAGGCCGAGACGTGAATTTCTCCATGTTCGAGCCCGAGGCATCTCATCTCGCCTGGTGGAATCAATGCCAAACTTGAGAGCTAATTCGAAACCAAATCGCGCGTGATTAGCTCGCGAGTGTGGATATCTTGAGAATTCTGCAATTGCTGGAGGAGGACAACAAAGTGACAACTCGAATTATTGATCAGTGTAATCTTGCCATCGGCATCGGCGAAAGAAGAAGGCCTCAAATGCCAACCAACGCATGACGCAGTTTAGAATTCCTTGCCACATGTAGGTGGGCTTGCTGAGAGCACGTGTCATGATTTGATTCAGAAAGCGGCTGCGAGATGAGTTGGGCCACTGTCACGCGTCTAAGGCGATGATAATCATCACCGGAGTTTGGCCGACCACCTCTATAATAAGCATTCAGCACCATAACAAGCGCAGCTGCAGTATACTTTTTCTAAGCCCGACCTCGTTGCCCACTCACTCGCATGATTTACGAATGACTTCCCAAATCGAAAAGAAGACTGGACACAATAAAAAAAAAAAAATATTTGATGGGAAGACCCTGTAAAGTACTAGGCTGAGGAAACGGAACTGGAATTGGGAGGCTTGCTCCACTGAGGAAACGGAACTGGAAGGCTTGCTCCACTAACGCAATCGTGAAATTGTGTTAGAGTATGAAAGTCACTAATTACACAAGTATTTGCATGAGTATGTATAAGTCTATCAATATATTGTAATGGAAATCAGATTACATCTGAAGAAAAGCGAGCATTAGATCTATGTTGAATTATCAATTTTGCAATCAATCTTCCATAAAAGAGATATCTTATGTATGTTTTATATATGACTTTTTTCAGATTTAAACATTTTCTTATGATTATTTTATTTCATTTAACTCGACATAAAATATTTTATTTTATTTAAATTAATTACACCAGATTACACATCAGAAATTTTTTTTACTATTTTTGAATATTGGTTTATGAAATATTGCCAATATATATGAATTTTTCATTTTTTTGCATATATGTATAAAGATGTATAAAATTTCATGTGAAAGAATTGTGTGAATAAATTTGTTGAAAATTTTTTTTATTGAAAAAGATTAAAAAAATCAGTTGTGTAATTTATAATTTCGAAAAATATTCTACTTATTTATACCTTGTTATATCTTCAAAATTTATTAATTGTGTAAAGTTAGTACAATCCACAATGTTATGACAAAGATGGAAATTATCTATGATTTTTTATTTTTTTGGAGAAAATTACTGATTGGGACTTTTCGGGACACGAAACACTTGTATGTACCCAACACAATTGACTTACTCTATGAAAGTACCATCTGCAATCTACAGTCAATTATGGTTCAATATGAGTTCTTATAACCTAATAGTTGACTATTATAGTGTGCAATCAGGAACTGTTCCTATATGGCCAAAGTAATCTCATGGAGTAATTTGGCCATTAAGCTTAAGTGGTTCCATGATAACCGAGAAATGATTGTCGCAACGAAATTTAGCCAGCCAGGTATCGAGGTAAGTCTTGTACACCTTGATATTGATAAAGTGAAACTCATGTCGTGTTCTGTGTCTCTCCTCGTTCCTTTTTATAGTTATAATCATTGGAGAAACTTGTTACAACTAGTGAAATTGTGAGCTCGTCCCTTCTATTTGTAGATTTTGTTTCCAAGAAAAGAGATGGTTCGTTGGTGCGTTTTGAATTCTCTTTCAGGAGAGTTTGAGGTGGTTTCAATAGGTATCTTCTCTGTTCACCTCTTGGATACACATCCTAGAGTGTGTTGTACCTAATCCATAATTAAAATTGGAACTTGGAGAATGGTGGGTTGCAATATTGTCGTGGGATATCATTGGGTGGAATGAATCGTATTACACCCACCAATTGTTTTGCATTCCTCAAGTGTCCCATCAAGTAATGTTTTTTTTTTTGAGAATGTCATATGTGAAATGACACATTTTATTACTTTAATAATTCACTTAGTTTGAACCATTCAATAAAGAAAAAAATTAAATTTTCAAAAAAAAATTTAATAGATAAATTCGTTTGAATTTTTTTATAAGTGCAAAAAAATTGGAAATATATTTTCAATTACAGTAAGTATCTAGGCATTTTTGTAATTTTTTCTTTCACATGTTGATGAGATTTTCAAATCATTATACTTTTCTTGCAGAAACATAACTGCTATGAGATTGGAAACAAAAATACACATGGGCCAAAAAATAATTTCATCATCCAGTGGCTAAATCAAAACATGAAGTTTATAAAATCTGGTTGCTCTTGGTTAGAGTTAAAACAAAACGGGTTGTTATAGTTCTGCACGTTATGAGTGAATTATAATAAGAAGGAAATGTTCAAAGCAGTGAGTTTGAGAGCCTTCGTAAGGGAGTTGACGTGTACGTTGGACAACACCCTTCATCACGCACACTAATGGCAAAGATCTGAAGAGTATTACCTCCCGAGAATAAAACACTGAGGACGGCGAGTTTGGGCTTGAGGTCAGGAGCCGTGAGGAAACAACAGGAAACTCTCGATGTCGAACAATCCGCACGATTTGCAGGGATTCAGGTGTTCACTTACATGTAGAATCCAATCCTAGGCTATTGATGGTTCACCCAGCCTCCTGGGAATGGACTCCATCGGTGCACTGACCAATCACTGAAACTGTAAGTTTCCATGGAATTTTCCTCGTGCACCCCTTTTAACATTGTTAAGAATAGACTATTCTCTGTAGTGCTATGAATTTCTTGTGTTGAAATCTATGTGGTACAATTATTTTAAGCTTGAATTTCGGCTATGGATGAACGTAGCCAAGAACTTGTAGCTTTTAGCTGGCGAGTTGTCTACTATGGTCAACTGGTACTCTGTATGCTTATTTTGTTCGAGGAGGTCCAGCCTAAATTTCTTCAGGTTCGACGATCACGACCACTACAACACGCGTGACGCATCCAAAAATTCCGTAGAGAATGTCACAATACCATCATCTAACGTGAATTCCAAGAACTGCATGACGTAACGAAACGTCCAAGAACCCTGACTTATGGGCTTTGCGCTTAACGCAACATTTGAGCGACTGAAGAATTATTTTAGACATTAGCTGAAGACCATACTATGTTCGGTGAGAGGCAAGGTTTGTTTCAAATCCTCCCTGGATCAAATTTTAAATTATTGTTTCGAGAAAAAAGTCTTCGTGGCTAACGGTAAAACAGACAAATGGCCTTGTGATGTGCGCGAGGATTATGGAAGAAAAGCTGTTGAGCATTTCGCCTTTACTTTTGAATGCTTGTTGCAGATGCATCCAGAATCAATGCGCATAGCCATATTTCCAAGGTTAGCAAGGCATTAAATGACTATATGGGAGTCACATAATTCATGAGGTGGCGAATGAGCAGGCTATCTTGCCCACGACTTCATGACCAAATACGTCAAAGTGGAAAAGTATACTGCATCATTGTCTTTGGTAAAAAGTTTCTTTTTTATCAGCAGGCATGGTCCTTCAGTTCCGAATCTTTACTTCCTTGGAAAAATATGTATCGTAGAGGAGAAAAGTATCTCGTTGTTTGGAAGAGAAGATGGACCGAAAACAATCAAAGGCGTGTTGTACATACTTTCATGACAAGACGGATCTGGTCGACCAAAAGAGGAGAGTCTTGCTCAATTGAAACAAGTAGACCTGCTAACAATGACATTCCAAAGGTTGGCTCGGTAATCTTCTCTCTAACTATTTGTCTGGAAGCATGCTAGACCGGTGCATATCTTCCCGCAAGACGTAATTGCAGGGTCAACCATGTACAAGTAGATTAAAAAAAGGATGACGTAATTCCAAGTGACGACTAACTTCAACTGTTGTAATGCACATGCGGCTCAACTCTTATCATGACAGGAACACGTTTCTTCCTCTCCTGGGGCATCACCAGCGAAAGAGAGAAGCTGGACGATGGGTTCACGAACACAAACCTGGCTCAGAATATTGGTTTGGGCCCTCCTGCTCTGCACTTCTTGCTGCGAGTCTCATCTGGAGACAGCGACGTGATGAAATAAAATCCCTACCTAGTACCTAGTATTTGATGCTCTCTCTCTCTCTCTCTCCTTCTCTTCTCCCTCCCGCGGCAGGCGGAGTTGCTGCAATCCGAAGATTCGGACCCGAAATGATTGCTTCATCTTTTCACGACCATCGAATAGTAAAGCACAACCCTGCAATGGAGGCTAATCAAATGACTCCTTGGTACAAAGGTTACCGAAGGCATCTATAAGATTCAAAGTACACACCCTTGAGAAGGAAAAGTAGTGAAGTATATTACAAACTTGTCCTTTTTTTTCAAGGCACAATCAACCGTCTGACCTAGACAACTCACTTTTGTGCTTGTGCCTAAGCCACTGCTGAACATTGGCATGCGAGAATAGCCTGAGGCAAAACCTTCATATTGCAGTTCGTTCTGGATGTGATCAGGGAACGTAGCAGCATCAACCTCGAGACCAACTGACAAGCCCTTTTGTCCACATCCAAAGCTCCGAGAACCTCAAAGTTCCTCCACTCCGGTTGCTTCACTGTTTCTCTAGCCCAGAGCTATCTATCACTCATTATTCCCAGAGCTATCTATCACTCATACAGTAGCTTGGAAAATCTCAAATTAGGACAACTCCGCATGAAACGGAGCGGGGACCACCCACCTTCCTTTTAACGAGAGCACATGTCAGCACTGCTGTCGTTACTGTCTGTCTTTGTTTTATGCCGGTCAAGCAGTTTCTCTAAACGGTGGACCTTGATCTTACTCTTTTGTGCTCGGTCCTAAGGTCGAGTCTTCTGATCCTCTATTGTCAATCACTCCAGAAAAGATAATTCGACATGTGAGTCTAGAGTTAAAGGGAACAATCTTTCACCCTTTAGTGAAAGCCATCTCACTATGTAAAGTTACACAAGGTTTATCTAAGATTACACACAGTTAGAAAGGGTCCTCGGGGCCAATATACTAAAAGGATAGAGAATAACCTCGGGTCACATATTATCCCTCTTTCTCCCCTTGTTCACTTATTAAGGGTAACAGAACTATTCTACACCTTTCAATCTGGCTATACATGTCTTTCGGGTCTGTATTGAGGTTTGAAAAAATAAAACTTCAAGGAACTTTCCGGAATGTTTAGAAAGATCCATAAAGACCAAACTAAGCAGAAGATGTGTCATAGGAGACTTATCATTTGCGAGAACTCCTGAATGATGTTAATTGTGGCCTTCAAAACTGCCACATAATTCCGTCCTGTAAATCATTTTGGATTCTACGAATATTTTCAACATTTCGGTAGAATCTTCATTCACATTCCTAGATTGAGTTCTTTTGATTAAGCCTTTCTTCACCTTTCGGAGGAGATATTTGTACTTTGGATTTCACGCATGCTCTACGAGTTTGGGTATCATCGAAAAGAACCACAGTCCCACAATAATCTTGGGTCCATTTTGAAACCCCTAATTTCTCATTTAGAAGATTACTATCGTATTACATACTTATTACAATTGACAATGTAGCCGCCAAGAAAAGTCAGCTGTGACACATGTCATATTCTCATAGTTATTTGGGATTTATTTTATTTGTTGGGAAAATGTTATAGTCTTTTCACAAACAGCGGCACATTGTCGGCATAATTGATAGTCTCGCCGCCCAATGACGGTGACAAAAGTAAACTCCACCTACTATTTTCTTTTTGCTAAATACTCGCTGCTCCTTTTCAAAAGTTAACGTCATGATAGCCACTCGATTCACACAGCAAGGATAATCTATGTAAAATATGTTTGTAGAAGAGAACATAAGTTTGTAACATCGAACGTCAATTCTGAATCTGATTCAAAGGAAAACAAGAATTTTATGGTGGTGACAGATCAACTTTATTCATGTCAAACAAGAGGTGAATCAAGTAGCATAGTAAAAAGATGGAATTCCCCATGGATGAAACCAAACTATTTTGATACACCCCACTATTATCATAAAAAGTTATATGTAATGTTGCAGTTAACATGTTTGAATAATCTAGGTGGATGCAGACATGAAAATTACATATGTATACGAAGAAATATGACCTCATGAGAATGATGTTCAACTGGTTGTGTTCTCTGGGGCTCTATGTGAAAAATTGGTTAAAATTGACTAATATATTCTGTACAATAAACCAAAGAGAGCGATGTATCAAATATTCTTAAATAATAGATTCTCTTGCACTCTACCGCAAATTTTTAAATAATTTCAAAGTTAGTGAAAAAAAGAGATGACCACTGAGCTTCATCTTCTCCGCGTGTATCTATTCCACTAAAATAGCCTCTACAATGACTTAAATTTAAATCATACACTCCCTAACTAAACACTGGGGTATACTAACACGATTTGACTGCAATGGTAACAAACACTCACTTACTGTGATATATCCACAATCTCATGTCACATCTTCCAACTGGAGTAGCTATGCTATGTGCACTCAAACATTGCTAGCAACGTAGACTGGTTTGCATTCCACAGTTGGTCTAAATTAGTAACTTCTCAGCATGACGTTCTCGGTTCCAAAACATTAGGAAAGTTCCAACAAAGTGGGGCCCACCTGAATGAAAGTGGATCAGTGACTTAAGAATGAGTCAAGGCCTGTACAGTAGTCAATCAATTTCAGCTACAGAACTGTATGGTAGTCGGTATCTCTTGTCAAACTCGAGAACAAAATTTGGTCCTCGATGCTTATCACTCTACTCTCGTCCAAGACCGTCCTTGCCTCCGTATTGGGGATACCCGAGACATACATTCCAAGGCGAGGCCAATACAGTACATATGTATCTTGCCTTGTTATGCAAAGACTGCTGTTGGCAAAATTGTAGGAGGGTACTTGATGCTGATGAACTGTTGGGAGTATTGAGCATCTATATCATCTGAATGAGGCTATGAGAGACAAGACACAATTAAACGTGACAACTTGACTTTCCAACATTGAGAATAAACAAGAACAGGTTCAAACTTTCAATGGGTAGGTTGATTGTAAGGTTATTGAAATCATAACTACGTATATTCGCAGTAAGAATAAATTACGTATATTCGGAGTAAGAATGTGTTAAATTTTTTGGAAGTTATCCTCGAATATAATGGGACTCCGTGCATTACATGTCGACGGTAGTATTAGATGATAAACTGTTACTTGACGTCATGTAAGGAATATTTGCAATAACTAATAAACGAGTAGGTCGTTAAAAGATATATATGATAAAGTACACTAATCTAAGGTCAGCACACAGAGATTAGTATTTCATACAGTAAGAAGGACAAAAGACACGAGTGCGTCATGTAAAAATTTTGGAATATGATTTCAAAAATGGGGACGGGGCACTCTTTGCCGCAACCCGATCTCAAATGTTACATACAGGGCCACACTGAAACTACGACCTAAAAATCTAAAAACTCTGTTCACAAGCCTGCTTCAATGACATACATCATAACATACAGCTGGTGACAACGATGTCCATCTCTATGTACATAACATACAGAAAGGGATCTAGATCCGTATCTCCGCTTCACCAGATGGTCAATATCCTGCTGATTCACTGTATCTTCTTAGAATCTCTGGACTGATTACGAATCAAGACAGGTTTAGGATCACGGGCGAGTTTGATTGACCATCCAATCAGAGTGAGCAGGCTCACAATTCCAGCAGTCACCCAAAACCAAAAGATCCACGTCGGCATCGGCTTAGGGAACAAACCTGAAAAAAATGCATGTGAGACAGATCAATATGCAAGTCAACAAAAACAAGATTTCTCGTCATATAAAGATAGAACATATCTAAAAAAAAAGTTTCAGTGTGTTTTTGAAAGTAACGAAGATTATGCGAGTGCAGAAGTAGAAAACACGATAAGAAACGAGCCATACATAATGAACTACAGTATAGTTTTTGAAAAGTGATGCAAAACTTTCTACCTCTTCCAAATTTGACACAAATGAGAACTTCCAGTATGACGATAGCCACTGCCAACCAGCAAAATGCGCCAAGCTTTTTGATGGGTTTGCTGAAAACAATGACAAAGTTGACAACAAATGTCAGTTCTAGCGACCTGTCGAACTAAGGAGAAGAACACTAGAAAAGAAGTGGAAGATACTAGAAGACCATTTTCCACTAGAAGGCACATAACGTCTATAGTCCAAAAACTCGCAATTTGGACTTTATTTCTCAAATGAACCAAAGAAAATTCTGATCCATTCGTTTGACTGAGAAGCAGAAATTATTAAAACCTGCTGTAGCTAGAGCAGAAGATAACAATGGCATGGTGGACTGCGATGGTACAACATACTTGTTTTGGAGAAACGAATTATATTCACGAATGGCGGGGTTTGCGATGATCCACCAAACTAACAACCGATAGCTGTTTAGCGGGTTCCTTGGTGGTATCCAGAGTATGAACTTCAGATAAAAAGCGTTGACTTCGACGATTAGGATAACTATGACCAGTCCCATTACTTGGACAAACCGGATGGGTCCGGATAAGAAGTTCCACTGATCTTTGTCCCAATATGCAGGCGTAAATTGACCCAGTGAACGTCGTACCTGGTTACAGGGGATATTTCCGTGGTATTTCAGTTCAAAGTGCAACATAAATATCATGCAATTGTTACCGCTAGATAAATTGTTATCGGAGTGAAAACACAAAAGAAAGTCAAAACAACTAATTTCCTCAGTTCGAGACAAATCTTCAATATACGGTGCAGTTCACAAACCTTGCCGATGAGACTGGGCTGCTGGCTCAATCCTACCCATTCGTAAGTTTTCCCTTCGAAATAGCGAACTGTTGATAATCCTGCCCATATGCCTGAAGCCAAAAGTTACCACTTCGTCAGTGACTTGATAGAGAATATGTATCAATAAATATTTGTTAGTTTCACCGCACCGTGCGTTCAGTCATTAAGCTTGTGTAAATATTGTCCCATCAAACAATTCAAAACTTAAAAACAACTACGATGTAAAGGTAAAACAATATCCTCAGACCGAAGAAGTTGCATATCATGATGTCGAGGATGATGCTGTCCCACCAACATTCGTTGAAATTAGGTAACATGTGATTCAACGTCACCTGGTAACATAGCACAGAATCATCTTTAATACATAATCCGCCACATGAAATGGGACGATATATATTCATACAAAGCCATGAATATGGCTGCAAAGACTTGCCTTAAAAACTAGAATAGTACGAACTTTTTGAAGTCTCTAATCATGCGAGTGGCTTTAAACCAGGCAGTGGATCAATCGAACATGAATCAGTGTGAGTTTCAGTAAAATCATTGAGAATCTAGACTTCAAGCCATGTCTGAAAAACTTGACCGATACTCTTAAACCTTAATGAAGAAGACGATTATCGAGTTAATCATCATTTCGACATGACCTACTACTACACATTGTTATCGCCAAAGTTGATTCAAGTCCGATTAGCAAGTACCGTGTATTATCAACATACCTCCATCATTTCAAAGCCGATGGAGATCATCCAAGACAGTAATAGATTTCGGACCATGATCGATTTGCCCCACCAACCAAGAATATGTGCAATCACAAACTCATCAAATAATGTATCCTGCAAAGCGATACATTAAGATTGATATATGCAATGAGATTCATGAAATAATGATTATAGCTGATCTTGACCTTTTTATTCCACTAGTCTTTCGGTTTTTCTCTAGACTGCACAAGCAAACCACAAAATGATATATTGCAAAAAACATGATCTTTGACGACACGGTGAGAAATACACACATAAACGTTGGCAAATTTACTATGTGGGTTCTCCGGAGTGTATATTCTGCAATCGGCACCATATGATCTCTCGCCTAGCTCTGCACAACAAATAGAGCAGACATGAGAAGGACAACACACTCAGACACCTGGCTCAATGGAATTGTGTGTCCCACGCATAAACTTTGTAAGTATGGTGGACCAAGTTTGTCTGTATACTTGCAAGGCTTCAACCTTGCAAGTAAAGAACATAAAGAACTGCGCCAAAGTTTCTGTTGGATCTCTTAAAATACATCAGAGCTTTTAAATGATCGCGTAATGAGGAGTTAAGTCGGTAAGAGTATGATCGTTTTCAGTGCAAACAATGCGTGAAAATGTGCCATCGTAGGAGGATGCGTTCAGTTCGGCTTGACGTTTCAAACAAGGTAGAAAATACTCATACTCACACAATCACTGATAAATATGGAGGGATTCGAGAGTTGTTATTTCCAGACAAGGACAACGTCTGATATATTGGATGGAGACGCCATTCATAAGTTGTTGGTTTGCTGAAGTCTTACACCATGTAAAGAAACAAGTACACTCTGATATCTTGAATACTACCATATGCGAGTTCATCATAATAAGAATGTTGACAGCAGTTCCTCTAACTTTTATTATCTATTTCTCTGTTCTGATACAAAAAATGACTGAACCTCATGCACTCATGCATTCAAAGTGCCATTCGACATTAGCCATACGACAGGGGCGAGTCTTATTTTGCACGCATTACTTGAGCCTTCTTCAAATTTCTTCTAAGATCACATGACAATGACGACCAGAATCTCTACTTTCAGATCTAAAAGAACTTCATGATATGACAGAGCATAATAATGAGACTTGTCCAAGGTGCATGGCTTAGTGGTTAATTTACACGGAAAGTGGACAAGTGTTTTCTCACAGGCAAACGTACCTACACCGAGGTCCGGATGCAGATACTTCATAAATTGTCGAGCATCGTCGCGAGTCTATAGCACAAAATCAACCAGTATCAAACCTTTAGAGCTTTGTTTCTCCTCAAATAAAAAACAAACAAAAATATTGACTCTTATGAAAGACAGGAGCCCAAACCTGGAAGAGGAGGAATGTCAAAAATAGTAGATAAAGGACTGCAAGTCCATGAACAAGTCGCCAGAAAGCGGGATGGGGTCTAATCAATATTCTGCAGACGCAGGAGACGATGTTAGAATGCAAAATATATGTATAGAAAAAACAGAATTTCTTGGATGAATATATAGTTAGATAATAAACACATTATAATCGAGATATTTGTATAGTAGCGAGTATGGCCTTGATTCTAAACGAATATGGCCTGTAATGTATGTACATTAATCGCCGACACGACAAAGCCTACCACCAAGAGTTATATACTTTCAAGTATAGAATATGAAAGAAAAAAAAAATTACGTCGGTGGTGCTTGCAGCGAGAAGTAACCAAGAAAGACGGCTACCATCGCCCACACACCGCTGCACACGTGACCACGGTGGCTTAGTCAGAAAGCAAAGACTAGTAAATTGAAGGTTATGCAGCAGACGAGACTCACACAGCTGCCTGACATTCGATTTGAGTACACATTAAAATTCCCAACACTTATCCTGCATGTGGCACCAAAAATGACAATGCGAATATGAAAGGAGGTACAATCTACTGGCTAAGAGTAGCTTCTACTGTCTGGCAATCGCTCGGACTATGGCTAAGTGAGACAATTCGCCCTTGAATTCCAAGAAGCAGCAGGACTGGTCAGGTAGCCTCCGCTCTAGTCTTTCAATCGCAATCAATGCGCATGTTAAAGAGATGACAACGTAGTAACTCACGCTTTTGTATTTACATCATGGTCCCGCCCCTGCTCCTCGGGTCGAAGTGCACCACTTGCCCATCTGAACACAGGGAAAAACAATGCGACATGAAGTGACGAATTTGATTTGGCTTTTCGTTTTCAAATTGAACGCTGACGTGGATTACTTATCAATTTTGAAGAAAATTTGATAACTGAAGGAGGCCTATAGAATAATATTGCATTCGACACTGGATGTGAAGTTCGTAGCACAGGATACATAATACGCTAATCTTCAGACACTCCCGTCTCTTCTGTAGCATCTCCCTTCCTTTTCAGTTTATAATGTCCACGATTTGCCATTCACAGATATAAGGACTTCCATCATATAAAGGTGTTGACTTGAAATTAAAAATTGAGTACATCTACACTCTTAATTATTTTGAAAGCTCTCCAGTAAAAAGGCCTCGTACTGCAAAACTGTGCACATTTGAAAAGATGGAATGATCATGTCATGCAGGATTGAATTGTCCCAGTCCACTTTCAAAAAAAGATTTCCAAATCCTTACAAGCTCTCACATGCAGCACGGAACTATTTGCATAAACGATGGAAATCCATCGATCATTTGATACTGAGAAACTTCCTAATTTCAAAGAACTGATGCTTCTAGTTCCAAGCAAAAATTCTGATACTAGTGCTGGGTATGGTCGCAAGTCATTAATGAAATGAATCAGGGGCGGAAGGAGCTCATGATTCCCGATACAACCGTCGTCCGTTGACGGCTTGTAAAGATTCTACAGTGGACGTGAGTTTCTGAATCGTGATTACCAAAATAGCTAGTACACATCAACAGACGACATAGACGGAACTATAAAATTCAACAGCAAACAGCATGAATCAGAACTAAGTCGGACGCAAGGAGGAGTGATTCAAATTCTCGAAGACTCCAAGAATTTCAGGACGATCGGTTCCTCACACGAGAAAGCAGGCGCCGAGAATGAGCACAGTGATGGTGTGCGGAGTGTAGGCCCAAGCAGTCCAGGGGTCCAAATCTTTCAAAAGCTTCTTCAGCATGCCCTCATCATCGTGATCCTCCACCACAATCTCCTCGGATTCGTCCCTCTCTGCATTGCTGACACCCGCAAGCTGCCCCATCGTCCCTCAACGACTCGACTCCCGATCACTCCAATTCTCCAATTCTCGCCCCACCCACACACCCTCCCTACCTCCCGCCCTTCTCTCTCTCTCTCTCTCTCTCTCTCTCTCTCTCTCCCTCCCTCCCTCCCTCTGCTCCTCGTCCCCGCTTGTTTCTGAGTCCGACGCAGGCGTCTGCTCTTACCCCCTGAAACTTCAAGTGGACATTCACAGGAATTCTGGTATCTGTGGCATCCCGGCGAGGCATCGCACTTACAACTGCCTGTCATCTAGTGCACCCACGACCGGCAAGCACCAGTCATGGCTCGAGCAAGCGACATGCAGAAGCGACATGCTCTTCAAGTCAGAGGGAGCTGGAGTCCGGACTTCTGCTCCTCGAGTACTCGGCTCAATCCGCTCTTGCCAACCTGACCGCCTTCTCTGACCACATTCTCTCCCTCGCTCCTCGCTGGAATCTCTTCCTGTTCCAAACCCAGGAGGTGGCGGGTGCTTAGGTGGTGCTCCCGTGGTGGAGATTCCGGTACCCCAGCATGGGCTCCTTGGCATATTCCACGCGGCGTTGGCGGGTGTCAGGCCATCGGAGCAATTTCATGCAAAACTTTTGTGCTGGACGGCGTTCGATTCCGTCCTGTGAAAGATTATATTGATTTCTCATTTTCATTCTCTTTGTGTTGAGGCGATACGATGGGGGTTAATCCGACAAAATTAGGTCTTTGGAGTACATCCTATTGTTTAATATTTTGTGTTGCAGGCTCACGAGGCCGAAGTCTCATGCCTCATAAAATTCCAGATTTTGTTTTGTTCTGTTTGTGTTGCTTACAGTGGACCCTTTTGTCGTTGAGTTCAACCACTGAGTGTTCTGCTGAACGCAGTCCAAACTGCGTACAACCCTAACCCTAACTGGAATCAGAGTCACGCACGGTGAGGACGAACCGAGCGAGCTGAGCTTCGTGTGAGAATTAGTAGCTTTGGCATTTGTATCTATGGGACTGCTGTCGATGCGAAAGTGTTGGTCTGGAGGATTTGAAGCTGACCGTCGCTGAGTGGAGAATTTCAGACTCATTTTTACCTAGACGAGTAGCTGAAAGAGCTTGTTGAGGCGATGGCTTTTTAAGTGAGAAGGGGTTCAGTGGCACAGGGAGAAGCTGGATGTTCCACGAGAGTGTTAAGAGAATTTAAGTGGGACGAAGACGATGTCGGGCAAAGTAGTTTCAGCGTTGATCAGACTGGTGGTGAATGCCGGACAAGCGAAACCGGCACCTCCAGTGGGTCCGGCACTTGGACAGCATAGACTGAATCTGATGGCGTTTTGTAAGGATTTTAATGCTCGAACGCAGCATATGAAGCCCGATGTTCCGGTTTCTGTGACGGTTACTGCATACACCGACTCCTCGTTCGATTTCGTCATTAAGTCCCCGAAGGTTTCTTACTTCTTGAAGAAGGCTGCAGGCTTGCAAAATGGGGGCGGCAGGGCGGGTCACGACGTAGCAGGAGTTGTGACTGTGAAGCACGTGTACGAAATTGCCAAGATTAAACAGACCGACCCTGACTGTCAGTACATGGACTTAGATGCTATCAGCAAGTCAATCTTGGGCACGGCCCGATCCATGGGTATCGCTGTCAAACGTGATTTGAATTGATCGATCGATCGATCGATCGACCCCATCCTACTCACTTGCGCTACCAATTTCGATGGTCATGCGGCGAGCCTTTGGCATGGCACAGAGTTCCTTGGTATGAATAAGGATGATATCCCCAGAAGCTGTTGTCTCTCTGTCCAATTATTGCGGTCTTCTCGGAATCATATATTTTTTGCTGTAGTCATAGCCTACGTGCCCATGTTCCCAAAGGCTCCGTTGTCTCGTTAGGTCGGCTCTGTGCAGGCACACTGGACGAGTTGACTTATTTGAACACTTTCAGATTGAAGGCATTGCAGCTCCAAGTCATTGTCGGTATTTCACAGCAGATCTTATATTGGCCAATGAAAGTTTTTCTTTGATTGACGTCCACGTACACTCAAGTGATTCGAAGGATTCTCAGTGTGATGAGTTATACACTGCTTCTCGATTCAAACCGGTGACGCTTACTTGTGTCAGTAGAAAATGGATGGCCTGACAGGTGAAGTACCGTTCACAATTTCCCAACTGGATCGTCAATCGAAATCAGCAGGATTGTGCCATAGTTACGTGCGATTCCACGATAGAGATTCCACTCCTGCTTAATTATCTGAGTTTCATTCAGACTGCCCTTGATTGGGTGGTGGATTAATTGAGGATGCAGGCTCGTGTAGACGACACAGGTACTTCGGTGGGCCTCGGGTTGAAGCGCTTGATCAGGAGACTGGTGGCATAGCACCGAAACTTCAAATCCGGGGGAAGTTGCAACAGTCTTTTGAAGTGCAACAGGCAACGTTGTCAGCTTGATCACGTTGGAGCCCTGGAGAGGAATTTTAGCAGAGCATCTCTATCCCGCTGGGTTATTTCATCCCGTGAGAAGGATCTTTCTGAATTCTTCTAAGCCGCTCGTGCCTCAAAATCTGTACACCGGCACTCTGTGAATCTCAACTTGACGATTGTCGTCTGGAAAGTGACGAATCTTTTACCTCTTTCAGTCTCGGATGTCGCAGTCGACTAAGACTTTGTGGAGTTGTATCTAGAATGGCAATCAAGCGAGTGCTGTAAGTTGCTATTTTTCACTTATGCATCTTTCATGACATGGTATGCCGGGAGGATAAACTGCGGCTCGGAGTCTAGTCTGAAGTGTTATGACACATGCCATCCATACGCTTGTTATGTGCCTGTACATAGTTTCAATGGGAATAGCATCGTTCTGTCGGAAGGAACTTGCTCTTCGATTTAAGAGTTTAGGAGCTCTCTTTAAGTAATCACAGACGGGCCAACAGAGTATAGGTAGTCGGAGCGTTGGAAATGTAGTTTCTGATAGCAACAAAGCACAGCCGCCTTGATGAGATTGCATCTGACAACTTTTAGTCTCATCACCACCTCCTGTGCTTCTATCTCCCAAAACTCTATCTTGCCAGACTTGAGCAGTCCTCTTCAGCTTGGTCCTTTCAACGTCGACCTCCAGGAAAGCAGTTGTCAACAAATGTTTGTGTTGAGCGTTCCGGCAATACATTCTTTGAACCCTGTCAATATCACATCCCATGGTTGTCCACGTACTAGTCTGTATCCCGAAGATACTAGACTGTAATTAACAGAAATGGACATGTTAATCTCGTCGGTTTATTAGTCATCCTCGTGCTTCTTGTGCCTTTCAGATGATAAATTAATTACAGTAACGAATGCAGCATGATACTCATCTCCCCCCTAATGAGTAAGTTATCAGGTGTCTCTCATCTCCGTAGCCTGGATTTTCAAATAGAGTTAGAAATATTTGTGAGTCTTACAATACATCACTGTATTGGCGACTTCAAGCTCAATGACGTCAGTAGCAACTGACCTAATTGGCGTACAAAATATGCTAGACATCGTTGCTGAATTAAAATATGGGTTCAGATTTTATATTCCTGTAAGGTTTTTAAAGAGGTAAATTGGACGTATAACATATTCGAAAAGAAAAGTCCATGAATACCACATTGAGATAAATTGGACGTACAACAAGTTCTCGCTAAAAGAAATTCATGAATACCACTTAATTAAATGAGCTTCTGCACTTCGGCTTTATTCCGAAAATACCTAATATTTACTTACCCATGATTTAAAATCAATTTGATCTAATTCACACGTACAACAAAATTACATGGTTGAATAGAATCGCAGAATATATTCAATCTTCAATTCTCGTAAATATATCTCCTTTTATTTCAACCCTTTTTTTATCATTTATCATATATCACCAAATAAAACTTGTCTATAAACTCAATGATACTTACTTGTTATAATCTTAAGTATACAAGATTAAGTAAAAGAGTTTCGAATGTTTACATAACATTATTTAAAATAATCATTGAAAAATTAATTTAAGTAAGGTGTACCTATTTTATGCAATTATGCAAATACATATTTTATGCAACTATAAATACTGCATATGCATATGTTACATGTAGTAATTGTCAACAAAGATATACATTGAAATAAATAATTATATTTCAATGGCAATGTAAAAACTTTAAGATTGATGTCAATTGTAATCATTGTATTGCTATACAGATAAAATAGTATTCACTAATAATCTGTGAGCTTGCAATAAAGAGGTTAAAAAAATTATTATGCTCAATTAAATTATAAAGAGTATTCATTCCAATCAATGCAATATCTGATCAAAATTTAAAATAGATATTCATATTATTTCATTAGATTTATGATGCATTTTTTAACATTATAGAATTTTTAATACTTAATTCAAATTTTTCAATTTTCAATTTGGCTCTCAATGAGAATAATCTTCTGAATTTTTTATTTTTTTATGCTAATTTTAAAAAAATGTGCTATTTAAATATTTGGAGACAAAAAATCATTATTCAAAACTGACTGTCATGAAATAATTAAATATATCATTTGTTTTTCAAGCAAGATAATTTTGCTTCATTAAACAAATCACCACAACAAACATTTCTTCAAAGTTGTATACTTTTTTCATCTAACTCATTATATACTATAATTGTTATTTTATAGTTATTTTTAATTAACTTGATATTCTTTCATATCACTAATCTCTTTATAAATATACGTGACATTGGATGATTTAGATTTTTAAGAAAAAATTTCATACTTATGTTGAGATGAAATTATATATTTGAAATTTTTCAGTCTAAATTTGTCATCTAGTGTAGTAAATCAAACCTGAAGATGTATCTCTGTGCATTTTCAAAATTTCATCATTAGAAATATGCGGTTTACCTCCAACCATGATGTATCCACAAAACACAAAGAATGATTTATTGAAAATTCAAATTGTTTTGCTAAATATTACCAAAAAATTTAATCAAAATCTTTTTAAAAAAAAACTTAAAAAGACAAACAAAAGTTAACCAATATCTACGTTTTTAAAATTTATTCTAACTAAGATATAAATTTGATATTTTTTCTAACATGTTATGAATATTGAAATATAAGAATCCGTATTTCAGCATCAATTTACATAATTTTTCCTATCATCATTCAATATAAAATTTCAAATTTATTAAATTGAATTTTTTTTATAATATCGTCACACTTAAATATATTCAGAATATTTATAAATATACATTCACAAATAATTTCTGTAGCTTTTATTTAAAATATTTTTGATTAAAAATATACTACAATAACTAATAATTTTAGTATAAAAAACTTATTATGAATCTTGATGAATATAAATTAATCATTTTCAAGAAGATCACATGACAATACATCATTGATCTAATAAGATACTGTAAAACAATACTGGTCTTTATGTTGATGTTATAACAAATCAATGAAACTTCTTATAATGAAATTTAACATTAATTTTAAATTACTTGGCAAATAAAAAATATTTGTGATATTAGATAAAAATTTTGTTAAAATAAAATAATAATTTTACACATAAAATCTTAAAATTTTAATTATATCAAAAAATTAGATTTAACAAAAAAATTAAACACGACTAAAATAATCATGCTTAGTTCATGATTAATTTTTTAACAAAACTTTTATATAATCATGAAATCTACAAACCTTAAAAAAAATTAACATTCTTTTCTTGATTTATATTTTAAAATTTGCAACCTTCATAACATATATAATTATCTTAAAAAATACTGATACATGTCAATTCACAGATCAAATTTGATTATACTGAATTTTAATTAATTAAAATTCAAATAAAATCATCTATAATAATAAAATAATATATCATGATCCGATTTTTATTAAAATAATTATGAATCTATATGCAAACTTTGCAATATTATACAATGTCTTCAAAATCATTTAAATTAAACCACTTTGTAAACTATTTTAGAATTTTTTATTTTCAAGTTATCAATCAAAATTTGATATTATGCAAATTTGCATAAATAATAATAGCAAAATTAGCATACCGTGAGATTACAAAACTTACTTCATAATATTTCAATACATTTTTTTGAATTTGACTTTTATTCATTAAGTTGCATACCAGTAGCAATGTGTCACATAATGCAAATCAATACAATTTGAGATTTTTCATTGATGTATTGTAAGAAACTTTTGAACATCAACTTTTTATTTTTGGTCAAATAAAAACTTATGAAAATTTAAAGTGAGAATTTAAAGAGTTACTCATAATCTTGTAATAATACTTGTAAGTCAAATTTCATAAAATCATCAAATTGCTTGTTTAAATGTTCACTAGTTTACTTGAATCCATACAAAAATTTTAGCAACTTGAAAAACATATGTTTTAATTATCAAGTACCATAAGTTGTTCTATGCAGTACACTTCATCAAAAACATCATCAAAAGAAATAAAATTTCTTTGTTTTTCTATATTAGACTAAACAAAATCAAAATTTCATAACACCCAATAGTATTATACTCAGTGAGTGAAAATAAAATTTACAATTGATTATGTGAAGATAAAATTTAATAGAATATGATTAACAGAATTTCATAAAAAAATCAATATCATGTACATGTCATCAAGTTTTTTTCTATCACAAGAAAATTCAAATAAATTAGTCAAACTCACTTAGCACAAGTCAACACAAAAATGCAATACAAATCAAATCTAACAAACTACATTTAAGATTTATCATTGATCTTCATTCACAAAAAAATATAAGATTTTATTAATAAAGAACTCATAAAATTATCATTTGTAGTTAAGTTTAATATTATCATTTGTAGTTTTGAGATTTTTTATCGTTCATTTTTAACATCAAGACTATGCGGATAGAGAAGTTCTTTTCCTTTTGTGAATGATATTAAAAAATTTTAATAAACGTATATTGCACTTACTTTTAGAAAAATAAAAACCTTGAAGAATTTTAGATTTCAAATCAAAAATATGAAAAAGTGTAATAACATAGATTTTATGCTAATTATAATTTGAGCTACAGAGATTACAATAGTGATCCAAGTCCTTGTATTAATAGCTCAATCCTGCCCATAATGTATCATTCCGATCATGAAGAATAACATTTTCATGATGCGCAGAATTAAGCAGCAAGCCAAAACAATAATCAATGCTTAGACAAACTATTGTGGTGAATGAAGAGTTTAACATCATCTGTTAATAAATCATTATGAAATCATGAACTCATTGCAGCTGATTTTTTCATTACAATGAAATAATATTTATCATTTTTGAGATTCTTAAATTACTTAAGAACCTCAAAAATATAAATGAAATATGTGAAATATTTGACTTTCATTGTTCAATTTTCATCAAAATTTTGTAAATCTATAACAAGGTATTCAAAACAAAAATTTAAGGTGCTTTTATCAACCTCAGCAGTGTGTATACATAAAAACTTTATTATGAAAACATTTTTTTCCAATTTTTTTTAACCATTTACTTCACCTTATTTCACCTTATTTCAAGTAATAATCATGATGGAAAAAAATGGAGATCAAATAAACTCATGATCTAAGTATTAAGATCCTTGTGTTGAATTTTGAATTGATTGCATTGCAGCTTACAAATTTAATGCTATTATGAATTTACATTTATGCTGCAAATTATTATTTCATTAACATAAATGTTGTCAACTATCATATTCTTTTATGTGCTTGACTTTTATTTTTCATAGAACTTTTATTCAAAAAATTTGATTGTTATTTTTTTGTCAATTTCAATCGTGAAATTAAGAATAAATCATTTAAAATAATTTAATTCAAGTATTTTTTGAAGAAAATATTTTTTCAAATTTAAAGTCAAACTTGTCAAATTTATTATCACTTGGTGTTAACATTGATTGGAAAAATTATGAACTAATGTATTGCTTGCCATTTTGCTCAATTAATTATTTGAAGTGTTAACAACAAAAATCATTATAAAAGAAATTTTAATAAGTCGAAAAATTTCTAATTAATTAATTTGAATGCAAAATTATTATTTGATCTTGCACTATCATACATGAATATCAAAACATTCATAGTAAAACTAAAAATTTTGCCTAAATTTTTTGTTACAAATTCAAAATTTTCATAAAATACAACATGTTGCAACATGTATTTATATATTAAATTCAATTTCAATAATTTAAATTAAGATGTGACAAATACGAGCTTCGACATATGCTCGACCCTCATAACAGTCGAGCATATGGGGTTCATTTGTGTTGATGGAGTACCAAGATTGATACGTGGTCGTATCTGTCTTTTAAAAGCCATAGTTGTTGACCCGACGAAGGTTGTTGCCACACTAAGGAATTTTACTTCTTTGCCAAAGAATTTAAATATTTGAATATTTATATTTCTGACTGAATTTTTTTTATTGGTGTTTAGTTTTGGTTCCGAGGTCTTTATTGTTGTTCCAGAATTTAGCCACTATAATCTTATTTTTCCTCAATTATTAATATTAATCTCCAAAAAAATATTCTTTTGTTCTAATGTGGTGTCAAGACTCCTGTTTTTTATTTTTATTTTTATAAAATTCTTTCATCTCGTTATAATGTGGAGGAACTTTCGAAAGTACACAGATATGCTCTCCTTCGTCAACTTGCTTATCCCTTTTCATTCGTATAAAGGAACAACGGTGTGTTCTAGTTGTTGTTCCGGGAGTGTGTCATACAGAAAATTTTCATGCTTATCATCTCTACCATCAATGTGATCAGTATTGATACAGCCCGCCATATTTTATCATCATGTTTTCTCTCAAGTTGGTATAGTCCTGACATTGAATTTAGCCCGTTCTCAACGATTGGGCATCTCCGGTTGGGGTCACTTTGCATGTTTGAGGTCACTTCGCAGAAGACTTCCAAAGCATCCTCAAGTCGCCTTGTGATTTCAGTCTCTGGCTTGGCTTCAGTCTCGTAGGCAATGTCCATACAGAATATTGCAGCTTGTAGAGATAAAATCAAGTAAATTATCCTACTGTATAATCTTAATTCTGTATATTGGTGCTACACTTATAATAAGAGATGATATATGTCACCAAAGTATCTGGAGCTATTACCCTTAAAGCAAGAACTAGTGTGAGCGGACTCAACTTTATTACAGTGAGTTAGTTTGACTCACTATAGAAGGTCTAACGAACACATAGAGCATAATGAGTAATTATTTTCGGGCTAGCTATCATAATATGTATCAGGAGATATCTTTACGTATGTCTCTATAGCGAACAGACACATGCATCCTAGTAGTGTGGTACTAAGACTTTCTTCAGTGAGTGTACCGAGCTGTCAGACTTGCTCCAAATACCTCTATGACACGGATCAACTCCCATACAACTCTAACACTAGAGAAAATAATTACTCATTATGCTCTTGAAGCAAGAACTAGCTTAAATATGTACAAATAATATTCTGAAAAAGTAAGAACTCATGAATATATTCACCTCGTCATTCTTGGGTGCGATGAGTAGTTCGCTAATTAGCTGAAATCACCCATTTGCTAAGATTGTGGCCGAGGGTATTATACTTGGATATGACGTGTCACTTAACAATACTACATCGAACAAACATGTAATATCAGCCATGCATATTTCAGGTAGATTATTTAGTAAGTACCACATCGTAGTCACAAATTTGTTAGTATCATATTGATAGTTGAAAAATTCCACTGCACTAGACTCAACATCTTATCATTTGCACCAGTTTCTTACGGTAAAATTCCAACCCAAGTATCTTCCCCAGAAGTTACGTCTTAGCCTTCACTCGTTTACTCCTCGCACGTTGGTAAATGATTGAAATGATTGTCGTGAAGAAATTTATTGAAATCAATGTCACCTTCATATTCAGTCGGAGGCCTTTTAATCGAGTGATTCAAAGCTTCGTGGCTCGAAAGTTGAGATAGCTGGAATGTGTAGAATTTATTCTGGAACGGAGAACTCCTGCTGAATCGGCAATCCCCACACACGTTCGAATTACGTACTTTTGTTTGGTCTTACAATGCTGATTTTCTCTTGCATGTGTAACTCCAGCATTTCATGACGAATTGAAACTATTGGATAGAATCGGATATCTAATTCGAGGGAGCTTCACTATGGAGGCGGAATTTGATGATCTCCTAGAGTATCGATAGATTATAGAATATGCTCAAATGCTCCACCTCGAGCGACTTATCGAGAGATTTCTTCTCAAAATATTCGTTCAGCCTCTTCTTCTTTCATAACTTATGCTTCGTCAGACAGTTCAGAACAACAAACATACTTGAAAGCCCTTGACGAACCTGTCTAATTATCGATAAAGGTACTGTGCAAGAATTACAACGGAAACCGAAACTCTTTAATCGATATAGGATATTTGTCAGATGTCACCCTGCTAGCTATATCGTTGCAATGAGAGTGAAACTCAGAAACTAAGCTAAGTCAAATGCATCGATGCATTCAACCAATCAAATCAGTCTTTCTCTTTTCCGCGTCGTCAAACAATTACACAGTGGCCAGAAACCCAAGTCTGAGCGGTTGGATCTTCACCTTCCATCTTCTCATTTTCCGGGTTACACTTATTGACACTGAGAAGCAAAATGTAAACGTTTTTGTGATAAGACTGGACAAAGTGAATATAGGACGACAGAAGAAAGATCGACCATGCTCCATCGCCAATTAGCAACTAAGTTATTAGATGGCGTCACACATTTAATTCTGAATCAGATCTAACTTCGTTACCTGTGACATAAATTTTCTAAATTGAGTTTTCTTGCAAGTTTGAATTCCTAAGTAGGGAGTTGAACCTACTGGCGGTAGTTCGGAAAGTCACTATTGATAAACCGAAAGCTTGAGTGAAATTTCTCCTGGTGAGTAAAAGTTGTGTGGTAAACTTCGACCTCATGGTGTGATGAGGTTGGTGTGACCAGGAAAGGAAATGGTTTTTTCAACTCGAATCTTCTTGTATGGCATCAGCCAACTTGTAAACTTACATAATGTAATGCCACACTGGCACCTCCACCGACACGGAGGACAAGAGACGAGGGGTCCAAAGAAGTCACACCTGAAATGGTGTCTCTGCCTGTCTGGTGGCCAACTGAGATCCAATTAAGTCACGTCCTGGTACATTTCTGAAAACTACCTGAACATTATGATGGCTGTGCATGTGTCCGGGTTGAAGCATGGAATTAAGATTCGGTATCAGGCCATGGAGTCAGTTCAGAAAGCTACACAAAGTCCACTGGGAACCGAAGAGGGCCATGATACCTGACAGGAGAAACTGAATATTGGCAAAGCCATGGCAGAGAGAAAAGCAATCTGATCCGTCAACGACAACCTGAACATGGTATGTGGATGCAAAGTCCCTGTGATTCATTGTGTCACTCAGCACAGTCGGTTCCAGAAATTTCGATTCGACCGAGGATCAATCATCTGCTCCCTTGCACACAGAGGTGATTCTGATTTTCCCTAAAGTTATCGTCGACCAACACCGACAAGATTTATCGGTCGTAATCTTCCAGTGGACTGGATGGACGAGCTCGCTCGCTGCTCTACTGCACAAGCGGATCCAAGGACATAGTTCGCTTGTACCACATAGACCGGTCACATCGATTTCTCACGTGGACCGAGCTTTCTGTTACATACCAGTAGTCGATACAAGTAACAATATCCAACATGGCACCAGTAGCGGTTTGTTCTTTCCTTCTGAAGCAGTTGTCACCTGAGAGGACCGAAGCCCGAGGGAACCTTGATCTTTACTGATCCGACCGAAGTGCACCAAGGATAAGATCAAAATATGATCCGCATCGACTTCCTTTCCATTTTCATGAACTTCAATCTCGAGCAAGAAGAGTTTTGAAGAGCAGGTAAATATCTCGGAGATAAAAAATCTCGTAGACGATGAAGCGAGAAGAGCTAAAGTGATAGAATCGAATCGAATCGGCCGGTCGTCGTCGTGCGAATCTAGCAGCCCGTGGTCGTTAACGACTTATTCTCGCAATGCGAGCCTCGCCCGAGTCCGTTGCTCTACATTTCTGGTCTGCACTGACTGATGGATTTCCTCAACGACAGCGATGGTCGAGGTCCCGCAGAGCTACCGACCAATGCGGTACACAGTGGTACGCATTCAATCATTTGACACTAGCAGTGGCCAGTGTGTTGTACTTTTTCGCAGTCCTGTGGCTAAAGCCCTGGCTAAAGCCGAGACTCCGCGAACGAGCTGCGACCATCGATAACGCAAAGCCCTCGCCAGGTTAAGATGCAGGCAGGAGAAAGAGCTCGAAAGTGGAACAAAAGCAGAGTCCGTGGCTGCAGCTCCATTGCGACAGTGGTCGTCGACATCTCCGGACCCGAGGATGAAGATAACATCATACCGCTTTACGTCCCGATAGATGGGCCCCGCGGCCGAGCTGGACAAATTCTCGAAGCGAGACTGCACGCTCTGCCACAGCAGCGGATGAGATCTCTGCTGTGAAGCCGATCGGCGAGCCGATGGCGAAGCCAATGAGGCGAACTCGACTGGCATCGCCACAGGCCCACATCTCGGTTTGTCTCACCCCGGATCATGTGACCCTCTGTGGGCTGTGTGGTGGTCTTTGGCTACTCCTTAGGCTCGACCACATTCATCTGTACTATACATCTGTGCCGAGGCTCCCCAGCAGCCAAATCAGGACCGATCCAGGAGAGCGAGCTCAAATCGACAGCTTTTGCGACGAGCTTCCGAGGGCCCAGAAAATGTGATCCGGGTTTAGTGACCTGTCAGTTCTCTGTATGGAGATGGAATTGCGGGTCCGAGAGGTCTCGAGTGCCAGGCTTCGAGTCGCCGCGAATTGGATCACTTGTTTTGTCAGGAATGAGAGTCCGTAGAGCCTGAAATGGACGCTCGGATTGTCATCCTCGATTGCTGGAGCTCTATAAAGGAAGGAAGCTCGACCATAGTCCCAGGTAGACGGTCTCAGGCTCTCGAGGCAGCGAAGGACTGCGGGCGGGCTGGACATTCCGTGTTTCCTCGTTTGCAGGAGCAGCGCATTTGGACAGCCCCTGGAGTCTCGCGATGGCTTCGCAGCCTTCGGATGTCTCTTTGCTGTTCGCTGCTGCACTGGTACTGTGGTCGGCGTTCCTGGTTCACCATGAGGGTGCCGTCGCTGCCGCTAGCGATCGTCCGACAGCGTCCGACCACACTCCGTCAGCATTGTTCCAGGCTCCAGGTTCGCTCGACATCGATATTGTAACTCGATCGTTCGAGTCTCCAGTTCATTCCAGCCCTCGGTCCGAGGTTGTGTTGGACAGTTCTCCGGCGGCGAGGCACAGCAAGAAGAAGAAGGGTGTGCGCCATCAGCGACTTTATATTCAATCGCCCGTGCAGTCATCTCCCGCGGATTCAAGTCCCAATCGCCTTGAATCCCCAATCCAGAATTCGCCTGCCTATCAACAGATGCAGCGACCGAGTCCTCTGTCCGATCTGAGCCAAGTCCAAAGCTCTCCGTCTACCACATCTCCAGTAAAATCTGCACCTCTGTCAAAATGGGACAACGCTCCTGTAGATTCTGCTCCATCTTCCGCAGTCAGGACGTTAGAGCATGGAGTGTCCCCGTCCGAGGTCCTCGAGTCTCCGATGCAGTCCACTCCTCAGCTCGAGTTGAACAATGTGCCAGCACAGTCCTCTCCATCTGAGCATGGTGGATCTCCAGTCGGAGTGGAGGAAAGGAGTGCTCCGATTTCATCTTCTTCTGCTTCCAATTCCCGCCATCCATTACCTCGGTTGCACACTGGTCGTCAGTCCGGAAGCAGCAAGTCTCCAGTGCATGGAAGTCCTGCATCTGAGCTCAGTGTCAATCCTGGAGTGAAGTCCTCGCCTCAGCCGGATGTGAGCAGCTCTCCAGTGCGGTTGACTCCAGCTCGGAATGAGTTGAGCGGTGTTCCAGTGCATTCGGCTCCTCAGACTGACAGAAGCAGCTCGCCGCGGCATTCCTCTCCTCAGTCGGACTTGGGTAGTATCCCAGAGCTGTCTAGTCCCGGTGTCAAGTTCGGCGCATCTCCAGTTGATTGCACTCTTGCACCGAGCTTCGAATCCCCACTTCAGTCGACTGACGTGCCTGCTTTGGAGAAAAATGCACCACTGTACTCGTCTCCAGTGCACTCGACCTCCAATCTTGCAGTCGAATACTCTTCAGAGGAATCCACTCCCACTCGCTCGACTTCTCTAGGGAATAGTTCTCCCTTAGTCTCCGCTCCCGATCTCGAGCTCGAGCTCGAAAGCTCTCCAGTGGAATCTACTCCAACGACCTCTGAGTCATACAGTTCCCCGGTGGACTCCACCCAAGTTCATTCTACTCCTCAGCTGAAGAATTCTCCCCTGGACTCCACTCCCGTCGTCAAGTACAGCGAATATACTCCTCAGTCCGATAGTTCTCCAGTCAAATCCACTCCTCAGCTGAACAACTCCCCACTGAAATCCACGCCAGCCCTCCAGGTCAGAAGTTCTGCTGTGGGCTCTACACCACTGCGTTCGACTCCGCAGCAGGATTCTCCAGTTTCCTCAATTCCTGGGTCTTATTTGCGCGGTTCTCGACAGCACGATATCTCTGCAGTGCATCGTATCACCGTCGATAGTCCTTCCCGATTTACAATGTAGAGTGATTTTGGCTCATCAAAGGTGATTGATTGCCAACACAGCTGCCTCACAGCAGGTGGAGGTAGACGAGATGTACTCTGAAGTCATCAAAAATTTTGCAACTTGTAGATTTGCCAGCGATACTTGCGTCAATGAATCTGGATGCTTCAGCGTATAAGCCTGTCTTGAACAAGTCAATTACAGTAATTAGATCTGCCTCAAACAATTTCATTGCACACACATTGCAGCAGACTTTGTCAATTCGACCCTTCGATCATGTGATGAAAGTGCTTTCGCAAGTCATGTACTGTACATTACAACAATCGCGAAAGTATCAATTGCAAGTAGATTCCTACAAATGCAAGGAGAGGTCCGAGTTCATAACAACTATCAAGAAAGAGAACCATCCTTGCAGGGGCTTGATGGGAAGGCCGCCAAGCCCTGCCAAGGTTAGTCAATGGCTAGATTCAATAGTATCACCGTCAAATAAAAAGTTTACCAAAGAAATAGTTATAGTATCATCAGAAATAAATGAATCATTTAATTAATTAATTTATTTACTTCAACATATAAGATATTTTATATTATTCATTAAGACCATTCTTCAATGCCTGTCCTCACGTCGTGTATATCAATTGTAGCTATATTTTGAATGAACATCGAGTCATGTTCTCTACACTATGATATTACATTCACACCTGAACAAAAAAAATATGATAGAGTACAGAAGCTAAAATTAAAAACTTGTGTTTTTAAAAAAAAAATAGTGGATTCTAGAGAGTTATAATGCATCGTCCAGTTTAAAGCAAAAGCACAAACTATGTTTTCTTTTACAAGAATGATTGTAAAACATATGACAAATGCGATTTCCAATCATGTTAGATTATGGATTTCTAAGAAAATTAGTGTCTAAAAAATTGAAAACATGAGGCTGCATGTCAATCACTGTCTACAAAGCGTATCAACTATGATGTATATATTATTTCACATATATACTCCATGCATACATGAAAAATACGCATATATATATATATATATATGTACAATCACCTATTGAAAATAGAAAAAGTGTGTAGAGATTATTTGCTTGGTTAAAGAAACAAAGCTAAGATTCTCTTCATCTATTAAAAATCTACCCCCCACCTAAATGATATAAGATGTTTACCTTCAAATCTCAAGTATCATATCACACAAGCACATATTTTCATTTGAATGATGTCACTTAAGATTGGTTGAAAAAAATGTAGATAAATGAATAAATGTGCAAAGAAGTTAAGTTTGTTCATAAAAAACAACTCAAAAAACATATTACAGTCCACATGTGGATTACTTTGTAGAGCTAATTCAATTAAGTAGACATGTTTATGAAAAAATGCAATGTAGATAGGATGAAACAAAATACTCAAAATAAACATTCATTTTTAAAGTATGTAATTATATGATATGTTTCATATGCATGTACAGCTAAAAGTTAGAAATAAATCATATTCTTCAAAAAAATCATAACTTTTATTTTTATACCTTGATTTTCAAGCATAGAAGATAAAATTTGGTAATCAATTAGTCAGAATCATAGTTAATGTGGTCAAGAAAGATTGCTCTGTGATTATCTTAACCTAGACGTAGAACATACAACTTGACATAGCTAATACGATAGATCAAGTAGCTCCATAACGAGCCGTGACAAAAATAAAAGCTTAAATATAGCTTCATTTCAATAACTGACACCATATTGTAGAACAATGATTCACTCTTATAAATAATTATGTTCATGGAAGATAAAATATTTCTATAGTAAAAAATAATTATATTTTGGAATTGATAAACTTATGAGAAATGATGCTCATACAAAATTAAAAATGTCATATATAAATAAATTTTTAAATCAGAATTGATAATTATTCATTAGCCTATTATGCATGTGAAGCATTATTAAAATTTTTACATAAAAGACCATGCAAAAAATGAAATTCTAATAAAATTTTTGTTCGAATATAATGTTCAATAATTTTTAATCAGAAAATATATAATATATCAATAGATTAATGAAAATCCTGATAGTATCATACTTTCTATTAAATTTTATTGCGAATAAGAAACATTTAATGTTTATAATGTTGTACTCTATCGCAAATATCCAACTAACATTCACCAATTTATAAAATTAAATTATTATCTTCAATATATAATTTATTTAAACTTCATATTGATAACAATTACACATAGACATGTGTAAATGTTAGTATTAGGAATGTACATAAATAATGTGCACAAAAATACTCAGATTAATTAGTCTAATATATATATATATATATATAATATCAAAACAAAAAGGAAACTAAACTATGAAATTTCTCTATATATAATTTTTTTTCAATATGGAAATTTTCATCAACTTATCCCAAGATAATTCGTCATCGTTATCAAGTTATATAGAACATTTCATGTGGTTGTGTCTTTAAACCTAATTTTTGTATTTTGATGATTTTTTTTCAGAAATTACTATAATCTACTACAAAAATCCTCTCAAGTCTAACCTAAATTTTGATATATCAATATCACTATTTTTCACTCCTATGCATAACCTTATATATCAATAAGAAAAAAGTATTATATGAACTTAATTAACTTTTTTTTATTTTAGTTTCAATTTTATAAATTTTTTTATTTTATACATTAATTTTTTAAAAATAAATTTAATCATTTTAAATATTAATATATTTTGAGAAAATAAAACTTAAAAAATCATGTTATTTCATCTTCATTTTTTCATTTACAATTATTTGTCTGTAATTGAGTATTTATATTAAATTTCTCAAAAAAATTAATTTGAGATACATAAATTATTTACATTATTAAGCTTAATTTTTTCAATTAGATGCACATTAGTAATAAACATTGCTACTGATCACATGCGATATTAACAATTTTGAATATAATTGTCACTATTTATCTCATTCTCTAATTCAAAAAAATGCAGATGTCAATATGAAAAAAATACTTCAATAATATGATATATAGAGCATATATACAACATAAAAGATGTAATATTAATAAAATCATCTTAACAAAATTATGAATAAATAAATTTATAATAATAAATTTGAATATTATTATAGAATTCTTATTACATAACATAAAAATGACAAATTCAAATCATAACTAACAAAGTTCATAGTAATCCAAATCATTATTCAGTTTAAGTGCGTTAACAGAAGATATTATAGTAAATTTTTTATAAAGTATCTTGTTTTTCAAATCACACTATTCTAACATCATAAAACAATGGTTTCTAAAGAAATATTTACTAATTAGAATTTAATATTCTTTCAAGTTTGCAATGAACTCACAAACTAGTATAGATTAGTCTCAATTAAGATTATATTCAAATGATAATAACAAAACAAGATGATAAATGTCATAAAAATTGGACGATAAAATTAAGTAAAGATAACACGTCCATTTGCACATTTTATTTATTTATTTTGTAATGTGAGAGAAAATTTTCATTGACGTCAATCAAACACAATGCTTAAATTTAAAATAGTAATATGAAGTTTAATTTTTGTCCAATGAGTCAAATGAAATTATAATTTATAAATGAATGTTCAAATTTTAGTTTTGAGTTTATAATATATATGAATTAAATAAATTAAGCATATTATTGTAAAATATGTTGTAATATTATAAATCTTGTGATTGATTTTTTTTTATCCTGATGGAGACAAAAGCATTTTAATTGAATTTATTATCGATATTGATATATTAAATTTTTATAAAAATTGCATGTACATCTATCACAAAGAATACATTGATGACAAGTATAAGTTTAAGAATTATTCAAAGCATAAAAGATAATTATTTACTTGACAAAGTAGAGGATCATACTTAGAAGTTTTTTATTGGATAATTTGGAAAATATAAAAAATAAATTAATTAAATTTTAGTGAAATAAATATGAATAATCATTTTATATCACATCATGATTAAGTTATATGAGAAAGAATAATGCTTGCTGTCATTTACACTAACTTGAGTTTGAAAATTCCGTACACAAAATGAGATTCATATGACTTATACATATGTAATGTGGAAGAAACCTAAAAAAACATTAATAAGAACAGAATTTTGTAATGTAATGTTTGTTGCCTATAGAATTGAAAATGTGATTATTCTTTGTATCATAGTGTTTTTTAATCTTAGTGAAAGTAATATTCTTGTAGTAGAATTCAAAACATTAATGAAGTATAATATCTTTACTTGAATAGAGAGGAAATTACTTGATGGAAGACCATCGTAACATAAATAGCTTGCAAGAATCCATCAAGTATAGTTTCATCCGATAGAAAACCATCAATGAGACACGTCATCTATATTCTATTACCAATCGACGATGCAAGAGTATGATCAAGCAGAGTGTATAGTAGGAGAAACGAGCTTAATGGCCACATTAGCAGCACTTGGGATGATTTTAGGCGCCGCTTATTCTCTTTGGCTATATAATCGTGTGGTTTTTGGTAATTTCCATTTTGGCTTAGTCCGCGCCTCTTTTCACTGGACGAAGGTGGCACCGGGGATCTAAACAACTATTTTATTCAATATGTCAAAAAAAACTATTTGAAAAAAACTATTTGAATGCTCATGCACAAATGAGATTTGTGCAAGATCTATTGAAAATTAATTAATCAAACAAAAACACTTTTATCCATTTTTTCAATCATCCAGATTTTGAACTACACATTTGAAGTTAATAACCACAATCCCGTGTGCTGGCTAGTTTGTCATACAAAACTTTCATGACGTTCACGGCCAAGTATACTTGCTACCACAGAGCATGTTGCTCGGTGTAACATTGCAAATGGAACAAATGTTTACTTTTTTGAGTGTAACACATTATCATCTGCATGAATTCAACTGCAATGGGTCTCGTTATCATCATTGCTAGCTTGCTAAGCAGTCAAGTATCAATCCTACTAGATCTCATTTTTACCTCTGTTTTCGGAGCTTTTTTCATCATCCTCGTAATTAATCATCATGTGTAATACTTGATGCGATGCATTCAAAAAATTTAGTTTGTCAAATTTTCTTTTAAAATTCATTCAATGTGTCTGAAGTAAGTTGTGAGCATGTGGATGATTGTTATATTCATATGTAAGTAAGTTGTGAGTAACAAAAGAATATACCAATCATTCATATGAATTTTGTTTGATTGTTTGCAAAGCTTTGGAAGAAATAATTCAAGGTGAAAAATGTGAATTCTTAGATTCTTTAATTGAAATATTCTTCACATTCATTTGTCTTTGTAGAAACTTATTTGATATTTTTTTTTTGAGTCTGCATTGAGCTTTTTCTATAGCGTGCAACACATCCTGCCCAAAAACTAAAAGTGCAAAGCCCTTTCCATCGTACTCTTGTGAGCTGTATTGTAAGCATATACTACCGAAGTGAACTTTCGATCTCAATCGGTTATGTGAAAGATTATTACTTTGATCAAAATTTTGCATATGATTTTGTTTGACTTTTGGGTTTGATCATTGAGTTGTAAGGTGTGGTTTTACAATGTTTAACATTGAATAGCTTCATTAATTAGGACACAATCTCATTCGGAAAATGAATTTTCCAATTATTTACCAACTCTAGCAGATATCAGAATCTCATCATAATTCATTCAAAAATGAATCGCACGGATGTCTCGACATCATTTTGTTGGATGACACTCCCTTCTATTCACTTTGTAGCATAATCTATTGTCGATCAACGATGCTAGACCGATTTACTTTGTGAACATTTGGATTTGACTCTTGTGTAAGTGTTGGAAATTCATCACCGCAACTGATTCGTATGGTTTGCTTAGTCTGTATTATAGCAATGAGCTTAATGAACTTTATGTTGTTTGTGTCAAAAAATAAATATTTGAATGAATTTTAATTCAGAGCTAAGAATTGCATGCATGTTGCTCTTTGATACACAGATCATTATGGAACTTCATCAAAATATTATCTAAACATATGCTAAAAAGCTACTTAAACTACTTTATACATTTCAGTTGAGATGAAAATTCTATGTTAGTAGATCATCCACACAATGCAGATGCATAAAAATTCAGACGATATTGAATTATTGAAAAAAACTTTTTGATAGAATTTTCTTTGTTAATGTTTAAAAAAATAATTTCAAATAGTTATGCATAAATTACGGGAATGAGAGATTACAAACAAGATCGTTGATAGATTATTCTTTGTTAATGTTTAAAAAAAGTTTCAAATAATTATGCATAAATTACACAAATTAGAGTTTGTAGTAGCAATTCAATTGTCATCTCTTCAAACTTAAACAAGAATTATTTTGTCTTTTTCCCAGTTGTACAAGTATGTCTGTGAGATGTTGATATCATTTTTGGACTCAAAGAACAAAAGATGTTAGGTTTTGCTGAGTGATGTATATTTCTTATGAGCTTTACGTATGCAAGAGTACAATCAATATGCAAAAGTAGACTCAAGAGCATATAGATTGGATTGGAGTAAACTTTCAAGACATAACAAATGCTCATCTATTAATCTTGTGCACGAGTACACTTAAGAGCATATTGATTGATTTTGAGTAAATTTTCAAGACAATAAAAAATGCCCACATCTTAATCATGAGCACAAGTACACTCAAGAGCATATTTATTGGATCAGAGTAGACTTTGAAGAAATTTTATCTTGTGTGCTGACTCAGATACTTTGTGCTTTTAAACAAACATTTGGGCTTAATCTCTTTGCTAGATGGAAAATGTACATTTGAAGTGGTATTTGATTTTGAAAGTTTGTTATTAAGTTAAACATTGAGTCAAGCAACAACTTGAAATATCTTTTATTGTGAAAGGAAAGATAATATATGAGCTTTATTTGGATATTCAAACTTATCTGGTGCAGAAGCTTGAAGTTGAAGAGTATGAACAAGGATGTGAATTATTTGTAGACATATTATCATGTGATTGAAATTTCTAAGTCACAACGAATAACTCTTCCATCATCAACAATCTTTCAACACTGGAATTTTCATTGCAAGATAATTGGAGTCCAAACAAGTAAAATTGTTGACTGTCACGATTTACGTCGTTAATAAAATTATGTTGAAGTGGAAATTTCATCGACGTATGAAGATTGATCTTTTTAATTATTGTTTTAAGTGCCTTAAAATTTTACTTCAATGATCTTTCACAAAAAGATAAAACACTATTCATTCAATTGTCAAGACCGATATGCTTACTCTAGTGACAAAATGCAATTAATGCTTTCATATACCCGACATTGTATTGACACCTGACGAGTTTATGATGTTCTGGTCTGCCTTACTCATAAACAAATATTAATCACAGGTTTCTTAGTTTTTTTATAGCGTTCTGTGTTCACCCTGCAATTTTTATGCCAAAAAAAAGACAAGATTTGAAGAAATATTAGATTATTTGTCATAGACGGCAAAAAAGAGAAGTTGATGCGTAGTATGTAAGAAAGATAGATGCGCACATTGGTCGAGACATGCATTTTTGCTCTCACAGGTAGACAAGATGACTTTCAACCCTGTTGAACAGACAAATTTGGTCAAGATGAAAATTGAGAAATACACATCTTACAAATTGAATGTTCATTGTGGTATTATATTTAGAGAAAATTTAATACTTTAAGGTCAAAAGTTGCCAAAAGAATTTCATTTTGACTTTTTCAACAAATTTTTGACACAATATCAATTTCCGAAGCTATGAATAGTGACAGGTTGATGACAACGGCAACTACAATGCAAAATTTTTCACCATGAATGATAATCAAAAATATGCTGTTACTTTGTCATCAAAGATCACTTATACGTGTGTTGAAACAAAAAAAATGCTCTAGCCATGCGAACAAAAAAAATGCTCTGATCATATAAACAAGTCATGACATGAGATGATAGTAAGATTGCATAATGTTAATAAATAGTTTCATCATTGTTGAAAAATTGAATATTTTCTTATCTTGCATGCTCTAATAGTTCCAATTTTAGTGAATTTTCATCTTCATGCTAATGAGTATTGCTATCAAAGTGCTTTTGCTATGAAAAGAGTCTGACATCAGATTGTGAGAATTAACAATATTAAAATCTTGCACAAGGTAGCAATAGATCTTGGACTCAACAACTTCTATGGAGAGAATGATCAATTGTTTTTTATGTATGCCATTTGTGATGACATTAAGCTACAACAGCCTTTACATGATGGTTGTAAAATACAAGTGGTAAAGTTGACAAGGAAACATTGAATAGTGAACAACCATTGAGTAAGACAAAAAACAAGTGTTCCAAATGTAAACAATCAGAACACAATGCTTGTATATGCAAAAGAATAGCAGCTCCAAAAATTATAGACTTTATGGATGAGGAGCTTGTTGAAGAAAGTGAACATTCATATTTTGAGAGTGTTGAGATATCACAAGTGCTTGAGACTAGTGCTCCAACGTCTTAAGTTAGAGTAATTCCAACATACATTTATAATGTTTTAGAAAAATTATTTGAAAGTTTCATTTGAAAAGTATACATTTATGGTTAGTACAAAGAAATATTTGAAAGTTTTGTTAAAAAAACTAATCAATGTATAACATAGCATATATTAGGATATGTCTTGTAATGATAGCATTGGAGTATATTAGGATGACAATGACAACGATAAATAAACAATTTGATGAAATGATAGAATCAAAGACTGTGTTTGAGAGAGACATTTGGATGCTTTCATGAAACTAATTGAGCGTTGACATATGGGCAAGATATGTTAAGTGATAATATTGATTTATTCAGCATTGATAACATTCAATCTTGCATATATTTTCCTTGGTAAAATAAACTATGTGAAAATGTCATTTTCCAAGTCGTTATTTCAGTTCTTCACTCACTACATTTTATTGCGTACACATGTGTTGTTATACCTTGCACTTCAACTTGCATCGTATTAGATGGCAAAGTAATTCTTTTGCTTTAGTTTTCATTCAAGTAGATCACTGTCTATAAGTCACATGTTCTAGACTATTTATATTCTTGTTAATTTGCATATCACAATAAGGCTTCATAGTATTAGTAGTCTTTTAATTCTAGTCATATCTTGAGTATTTGGACAGGATTTTGGCAATTAATAGTTGTTGCATCTCTTAGGATTTTTGCTCCTATCTTTTACCTTGACTCATAGACCTTGCAACTTTTGCATGGTGTTTATAATCCAGATTTTGAAGCTGTTTGAAGTGACTTTGGCCAACAATACAGTTGTACTTGATAATCTATGTACAATATAATATTTATGTTACAAGGAGATACCATCAAGTAATTTACTACTTCTAGAGATGATCATATGAGCTCTAGCGATAGGTTACATAGATTTGGAAATTTCAAGTCGGGAGCTCATGAGAGACTTCCGTTTTCTTCTTTGTTCCTAATGAAGAAAAGCAAATGTGTGACTAGGATAAGGCCCACTAAGTATGTAAGAAAACACCTACAACACACAGGTTGTGTCTACAACAGGCACCTTAGGAGAGCTAAAAAAAATTTGACTGGAATAATATTTCATGTAAGTAATAATCTAGGGCTAACTACAAGGCATTTCAGTACAGAATGATATATATATGAATATCATTCTGTACTGAAATAGCCCCCAATATTGACCGGAATATTTACAACTGCCTCAGCCCATCTCTGGTCGACACAAGATGGGCAGGTTAAGATATACATGGTGCAAGTTCATTGGATGTCTGGTATCAGTGCTCGGGTTAGTACCTCAAAACATAGAGAACAACAATGGCATGGGAAAGCTGGGGGACGGGCAGCACCAGATGTCCGGTTGCGGGCGGTACTGTACTAGGTACACAATAGAATTCAATGAGTACGAGAAAACAGTATTCACAGGAAGCTGCGACCGGCGCGAAAGCTTTGACAGAAGTGGGCTGGGTGTGTTGATGAAGTTCACATTGGAAGTTCCACGCGAAGAAATGTAACCGGGAGATGTTCACCCGACCCGTTCTGCAAGAGTCGACAGATGCCCGGGAGAGTCCATGGAAGCGGACTCTGCTTTTCTTCTTGAGCTCCGAGGGCGGAGCGAAGCCCGAGAGGTGCCGGCCGTAATTTGTGCACTCAGTTCGCTGAGTCGCCCTTACTCCGTTCGCCACTCGACCGCGCTGCATTTCGCTGCATTTTCCGGCTGATTTAGAGCTGGATTGAGGTCCGATCTGGGCCTTTTTCGCACTTTGAGCTGTGTTTTGTATGAAGTTCTTCAGGTTTTGCTCGCAGGGTTCTGCTAGCTGCATTTCTGGGTCGTAAGCTTTGCGGAGTGTCTTGCGGAAGCTTTTGCGATTGTATTCGATGTATCTATAAGGAGGATCGGTGAGAATTAGAGCTGCATAGTTCGGAAACGGGCAAGATGCTGGTTAGAAGAGGCGATCGTCTCTGTATGAGTCGTGTCAGCATCGTACACGTCGTGCTGAGTGTAGTTTCCCTTTTACTACTCGCGAAAGACTCCGTTGCAGTGCCGAATTTGCGGGGTATTGCTCCACAAGGTGTGTTGAGAACGCTGATGAAAAGAGTAATTGGAATGTGCTACGCTAAATTTGACTTTGTGCCACTTCATCCGTGCCCTTGTCTTGGGACCTGTGCTCACTTATGAGTAGTCGTTCCAAATGCGTGGATATTTTGTGAATTATATCGTATTTTCGCCTCTTATCGACTGCAGACGAGAGGTACTTTCAGACTGCCATTATAAAATGTAAGGATGGTACGAAATCCTTTCCTCAAGAACGCCTCAACGACGACTTCTGCGACTGTGTAGACGGGACTGACGAGCCAGGTAGTATCAATATCTTTGATGTGCACATGTAGTCCACATTGTGATATTATATGTGTAAACACTTCCTTGTAAGCAATTGCTAATCTCGAAGGTGATGAAGGAATGAAGCTCCAACATTTCAATGTGATTGGACTAAGCATCCTCAAGCTGCATACTTGTTAGGATCTAGGGTTTCCTTCTCTATTATCTGCACTGCGCATCACCCTTGACTAATCCTGGAAAATGTATCTCAATACCAAGATGTTCAGAGGATATTTCGTTCTTATTGCAAGTCGAAGAAACTCGTACTGATCATAAACTTTTATTCAGGAACGAATGCATGTCCGGAGTCAAAGTTTTACTGCAAAAATCTGCAACATCGAGCTCTAGTAATTTTTTCTTCTCGAGTGAACGATGGAATTTGCGGTGAGTGGTTCCGTCATATGACTGTCATCGTGGAAGCAAGGGGATATGTCTGGTAAATTCTGTTTTATAGTAGCATGACGTGTACAGGTGGAAATAGCTCAGCTTTCGACTTAGTGAACCCAATTTTTACTGAATATATCCAATATATTAGGCATGTTGTTGAGAATGTTGTATTTTAAAACTCAGGAGGGTTTCCCATTATAGGTTAGGGTCTGGATGAAAATCCAGCCGCCTTCAGTTATGGTGCATCTTTTCAAAATTATAGTCTTATGTAGATAATCTTAGTTGCCGAAACTGAACGTTTTTGGCTTGATCATGGTGTGCAGATTGCTGTGATGGAAGTGATGAGTACGACGGAAAAGTAACATGTGGTAACACTTGTTGGGAAGCCGGCGAGAAGTCAAGAGAAAAGCTGAAGAAGAAGCTTGGAGTTTTCAAAGACGGTTCAATCATAAGGAAACAAGATGTTGAAAAGTCGAAGGAGGCACGTCATCAACATGATGAAGAACTCAAGCAGGCGAAGCGAGAAGTGAAGAAACTCGAGTCTGTGGTGGACAAACTTAGAGGTACCGCATATTTGGCCAGCCTTTCGTGTCACTCTGCATGAACACTCATGAACCAAGACAGTAACCAAGAACCCATAGAATCCTGAACATGTATCCCATTCTATCTCGTATCAAAATCATCTGAGACAATCCAGGGTAGCTTGCGTAGTTTGGCAGAGTTGGTTAGTGGGGATGAGTAGGTGTGGAATAACGTGGGCAGCATGATTCACTAGTGAAGCGTGGTCAATGGATACAGAAATAAAGGTGGTGCTGCTGTTGGAGATGATTGTGGTTGCCGCGCTACTCTGGTGGCAGTGTTGTAGTCGGCGCTGCTTCGCACGCCGTGTGGTCAGGAGGCGATAACTGTGTCATTGATTTGTGTGAACGGGTGCAAAGTTGCAGAGCCTCGTCTCGAGAGCACCATGAAATATACTAGTGTAGTGGAGTGAACCAGGGGAATCTCTTGTAGATCAAGGATAGAACTGAACTATCCCGCTTTAGGAAAAAGCCAGCCATACTTTTCTTCTGTCAGCGCATATACAATCGTCTGCAGTGAAGGCTGATTCTTTTCAAATGGCGTATGTGGGTTTCTGAACGACATGACAGCCGATAAAGAAGCAGTAGAGAAGGAAGAGAAGCGGGCACGGGAGGAGAAGGACAGAATAGAGAAAGAGGAACGTGAGAGAAGGGAAAGAGAGAGTGCACCTGCAAAGGAAGAATCTCTGGAAGCGGTTGACGTCTCAGATGAAGTAGAAGGACACGCAGAACACTCCGAAATTACGAAACCTGCTGAGGAGGAGGAGGAGGAGGAGGAGGTAAAACAGCTTCTAAAAACAGAATCTTGAGTGACCGTTCACGCTATTATGCATAAGTGTGGGTGAGTCCAGGCAGGCAGTTTTGTTCAACGCCACAGACTGATCGGGAATTGCCAGTACCGTATGCTCTATTTTGACTTGAACTTGGTGCAGAGGCACTTTAACCCACGATTTTGTCCATCAAGGGAAAGTAATATTCAGATTCTTGTCATATGCCATTGACAAACCTTTCGTTCAGCGTTAATCTCAAATATCAGCTTGATGTATCTATCACATCGGAAGTACTTTGTAGTTCAAGGATAACCCTCTCCAGAAAAGTACTTGAAGTGATTTTTTCTACCCTCATCTGAGAGCATGGGGTCTACGTGAGCTAGAATATTTTGTCAAAACTGCTTTCTGTTCCTTGTTATCTAGTATTCGCTTCTATGAGTTTATAACAACAACGGTTTATAATAAGCGTAGTTTCATACTGTGTCTATTTCGGTCAGTCTGCCATGTTCTACGATATGTATATGATCATGACGGCTATCAACGTTAGGAAAATGGTTGCAGAGAGCAGCGAATAGCATTAATGTACCTTTCAACATGGACTCAAGCGTAGACGCAGTCCTCGCGATTTGTTTATATGAGAGCTATTGTGGCCCTTCAGAGGAGCTCCTTTATTTTCTTCTCTAAGTCTGTAGGATATGTGATTTATTTTGTTCTCATTTTACTCGATTCATACATTACGTGCACTGATTTCATTGAAGGAGTAGGTAATGAAGCGTTTGAGGGTACCAAGGCTATTACACTGATATGTTGTGGAGAGGGTTGAAGTGTGATGTTTCTCTGGTATGGTTGGTCACAACTTACTGTTGTAAAGCCTCACGTTTGAAGGCCAGGCCAGGTTAGGTAGAAAAGTATCAAAATCTTTCAAAGCTTGATATACAGCAAGGAATCAGGAATGTGAAATGTAAGAAGAATCCACATGGAAAGAAGCAGACCCTTCTCTGGGTCGGTTGTGCCGAACGCGCTCGGTGGTAAACTGAATGCCGTAATTGTAAAAACACTCGGTACTTCGTGCATTTAGAAGACTCTGATTTGTGTGACATGTGTCTCTTAAAGGAAGATGATCTAGCAAAGAATAGGCTTCTAACTCAAAACACGTTGACTTCCTCATTCGCTACGCCTCATGTTATCAATAATGTACCTGAATGTGCATATGAGGTCTTATGTATATTTTGTATGCCCACAGATCATGTTGGTTTTCATTCATTGATGTTCCTCTGTAACGAAGCATTGTACGTGTTGTATGATGTCAAATAGGTCTTGGATAGTGCACTAGACCCATCTAATAAAGAGGAAGATGAGCTGGCGGATTTGACTGAAGAAGAACGTGGAAGAGTGATTGCGTCTCGCTGGACAGGAGAAGATATCAGTGACATCAAGGCTAAAGCGGAGGCAGAGTCTAAGAATCATCCCGATTCTCACGATGATCATGATGATCAAGACGATAGTGGTGATGAAGCTGATGAGTCCCATGACGATGAAGAAGATGATGATTACGGACACCCATCCTATGGACAAGATTGTGAGTGGACTCGAGTTAAACTGCTTGTTTGATACTAGGTATTGCGGTCGAGTCTTTCGGTCGATGAAGCCTCTGGCTCCTGTTTTCTTCCTTTCTTTTGTGTGGCCGAATTTTGAATCCACTGACTATGTGACCTCGATGGATTGCTGTAGCTTTATTGCCAACCAGTTCTCAATCTCTCGGTGGGGACGAGTCATGGTGGTCAAAGCTCATGATTGGACCGAGTGCAATTTTGAAAATGTTCGGCTTTGCGGGTCGTGAACCTGTCGATATATCTGGTACTGAGCTCATTGGTACTGCGGTCGAGTTGCATTTTTAGAGAAGTGATACAATTGGATGTTTGGCTACGGCTTCTCCATGCTTTGACGTGTTTGTTTTATTTAAATTATCAGGATATGGTTTTGTGCAGAGGCTGAAAGGATACGGAAGGAGTTTCGAGAAGCTTCGGACAAGCTCTCAAATACGCAGTCGAAGGTGTCTGATCTTGAAAATAGGTTGAAACAAGACTTCGGTGAGTACCACACTTCAGGCTCATTATCTGCGATTGTCCGGATACGTATACGCCTTCGTGATTACTCAGAGTCTAAGTTAAAGCAATGAAGTCCCAGGAATCCACGAGGAATTCAGCATCTGAGTGGCCTGCAACGATGGATCTGAATCGTGTGACGAAACTTGGCTCCTGCATTGTACTTAATTCTGCAGGGAAAGACGGCGAGTTTTACTCCTTCTACGACAAATGCTTTGAGCTCAAAGATAAGAAGTAAGAATACTTGCACTTACTCTTATATGAGCAATTGGTTCGTTCCGCATAATTCGGAGCATCTGCAAATTCTTTTGAAACTTTTCTTCAAGCAAGTTTTGTGTCGAGTGACAAGACTTTATGTCGGAAGGTCGATAATCCTAAGCGGGGAAACTTTTCTTCTTTGACTTAAGTACTTTTCAATTCATGGGTGGACCTGATAATTCGAGGCAGGTTCTGGTTAGAATATGGTACAAGAGGCTCAGGTTTCTCACATTGTATATGTCACGAGATCCGAGGAAGTGGAAGCTTATATTTACATTCCCTACCACCATTGGTTGTTGCAGGTATACGTATAAAGTGTGCCCATACAAGGATGCCACGCAGGTGGAAGGACATTCGACGACGCGATTAGGGTCTGGACATTGTTTTCTGCTGGTTTTATATCATGATGTTTAGCAACCTATATCTGTGTATACTTCGCTTTCCCTATATTCAGTAAGTATCTTATGTTTGTTCGGAATGTCTTTCTCCAGACGCTGGCAAGGTTTTAAGGATGACTACACCAACATGGTGTTTGAACAAGGCGATAAGTGCTGGAATGGTCCTGAACGTAGTCTACGGGTACATTATTCATTCACTTCTCCTAGCCTTGGCTTGATAGACAGTAAATTAAACTTCTCAATCTGTCCAGGGTTGTGTAGGTTAGTCCAGAATGTGTGTTTGGAACTGAAGTTTTGTGTGCTGTTCAGGTGAAAATGCGATGTGGAACAAAGCTGGAACTTCGTTCCGTGAATGAACCAAGCCGCTGCGAGTAAGGCTCCATACCCTGTTAAGCCTCTGTGTTGAATTCAGTTTTGAAGATATTTCAGATGGACATGTTGGGCTCTAGTTCGAGCATCTGATTCCCTATTTTGACGTGTGCAGGTATGTGGCTGAGTTTAGTACTCCAGCGTTGTGTTTAGAATCGAGAGTGCAGGTAAGTAATGTTTGTTGTCAATGAGCTCAGTGGGAGCTGTTTTGAGTCAATCTAGTCAGTCCATCGCAGCTGTCATTGCCGTAATTTCCTACATGAGAGAGATCCATGAAGTGGAAACTACATAAGAACTTTTTGCAGAAAGAATACCCACTTCAAACTGACTAACTAGTGCAATGTGTGCTTGATTTACCCCTTTGTATTTGCAGGAACTGGAACAGCAACTAGTACATCCGAATGTTTCGCCAGACAATGGTCATGATGAACTCTAGAGCATGTTTTCCAATTCATAGTTGGGATAGAGCACTCTAGAGCACCTGAGTATTGTCCATGCTTTTGACAGTCTGTCATTGTATATCGGTGCGATCAGGACAATGATGAACTTTCTTGTCAGTGTTTAAATCCCAGATCCAGTGAAGTATGTTTTCGAGCCAAGTTTACTTCGTCATGAGTATTGGCTCTGAACATCGTCAGAGTATCAAAATCATGTAGAAGATCAGGAGATAAATGTCGTTAGAGAAGACACTAGACTAAATCATTTTGGCTTTTTAGTCTAATGTGCTATAGCTTAGGTTTCAATCAGACAGGCCGCATTCAGTTCAATGATGAGTTATCAAAGTTGAGTTCGCGCTGAAATGGTTCACCTGCCGAAGATTTGTTAAGCGGAACCATAGCGGAGGACACCAGTAGTGTTTCGGGGTCATATTTTTAAGGCCTCGATACAAGTTCACTGGGAAATGAACTTGTATGGAGCTCATTTCCTAGTGATGGACAAAGCACAACGAACTTTAGTAGGTTGTGATCACCGTAAACCGGTCATCGCTGGTGTTCACATCGGCATTTATTTATAATCGAAGGAGTTGTTTCACGTTGCTCTTAGTTCATAATTTCACGTTGCTCATAATAACGTACTGGACGTCTCATTTACTCTCGACGGAAGTGTGTCGATGGAGTTTGGATCCCTTCTAGTAGGTTTTGCACTTCAACTCTCAGATGTCTCTTTGCTTCGAACTTTGCCACAGCCTGAGAATTGCCACGCTGATATTACGGATCCCACGGTAGGAAGCTCCGTTCATCAGACCAGGACCAACATTCTAAGCCAGGACTCAAACACGCACGAATGGAGGAAGAAGGTTTCGGGTCAAGTGATTCACGGTGGACTTTATATCAAGTGTTCCTTACTGCGAAAATGGAAAGTGATAGCCACAAGCCCGCCACCTGAATGATCAAATACAATAATTATCCGGATCGATAAACATTATTCTATGTCTTTCAGATTATTCCACTTTGTCTAAAAGAAATATTTTCTCACCAGTAATGAATATTAAACTCCATCAAATACACTAAAATACTTAGGTTGTATTTGTATACAGAAACCTATCTTGATGATGTATGATAATAAAGTTCAAGCTTCTATTGATGAAATAATTTTTCACACTAAGAATTTCTAAATTTAAATATCTATTCTTAAATTATTAGAGATGTTATCATAATAAAATATGCTAATTAATATTTAATTTAGTTTTATTAAAAGAAACTCTGATAGATTTAACCCATTTTCAGTACGTGGTAACAAAACATTGATCTATACAAACCTTTTAAAAATTTCCTTGTCCGAGATTAGATGGAAACATAACATTTGAAAATTTCAAAGTTTCTAATATATAGATATTAGTTTACACTAAATTAATTTTAAACTTAGTATAATTAATAATTTTTTTATTAATTAGTCAAACCAATGAAAACTAAAAATCAATCAAATTTTATTTATTTTAAATTTAAATTTTGATAAGAATAATAATAATAATGTTCACTCAATTTTTTTGAAATTATCTATTTATATCATTAGATATAAACATCATAACTAGACTTAGTAATAGTTAATCTAACAATGATAAATACTTTGACTAACATTACTGCTATTTCATACATATAACAATAGGTTTTAAACGTCAATAAACTTTTCTTGAAAATTTGATCATATAAAGCACATCACTTATGTATATCCAACATTATCACGCTTAGTCACATTTTGTTACATTTGTATGTCAATCAGTCAACTAACTTCATCATCTAAATTATCAGATTTCACTAATAAATATCACTATTCCAATATCAATCCTATAAGTATTCAATAAAATCAAAATACAACTACTCTTTACATTTTTAAGAATATAGTATCAAGTTTAAAAGATAAAATGATCAAAGCCCTAGTTTTTATTTTTTGTTGAATGAATAAACAAAATATGTTTCTACCTCAACAAGGCTACAGATCTTATTCTTAATCATGTTAATGATGGGATTCATTTGCTTAATTTCCATGTATATGAGCATTTTTTTCATCTACATCTCTCAAATGATACATTGAATAGCTTTAAATAAGATATTTCATGACTCAAATAATAAAAACAATAAATTTGATTTGTAGATTACATTGTACTTTGTGTGGATCTTATTATATCAATGTTTCTTTAGACTCAAAAGTATGGTAGGATTTGAATCTCCAAAATCAACAGATTTCACAGTCCATGCACATAAACAAACACAAAAATTTGTTGATGAGGTTAAGCTCAAAAGCCTAGTCCCCGCGAACTCCTCAATAAAGGTAGTTAGAGTATATAACCAAGATCAAAGTCGTCGGACTTTTCCTTCTCACTGTCTTTATAGAATTTTAGTCAGGTGAAAAATACCCACAGACATCATTCCTGTTTCCCAAGCAAGACAAACCCTTCCTCACATATGATTCTCTCTCTCAATTTGTTTTCCAATTTTCACACTTGAGTTTTCTTGAAATCCCCTAATTGCAATGAATCCTTTAATCCGCTGATTAACTTTAAATCACCTTGATTATAAAGGAAAAATATCAGAATGAATCAAAGTCGTTATTTCCTATAGAGCCCATAACATATCGACACATCAGCGAGCTGATTACTATAAATGACGAAAAACTCTAAAGAAAAAGTACATGTAACTGAAGCTGATATCTCACAATCTCCACCTCAATCTTTAGTTTTGATCTTTGCCGTCTGTATCAGATGGCAAAGATCTCCTTGGTCCTTGTACTTTATTGATTCATCATTTGATTCTGCTCAATCACGTTGCATCAACTCCGAAAAGCTTCAGACATAATCAAAATTTCCCAAGAGTTATCACTTTCGTGCCATAGTTTGCCGAATTGTCATCAGTGCTGATTTTTGCAATGTTGATGTCGCCATGGGTGATCTTTTCTTTGATGAAGTGGTACTTGATGTCAGCGTGCTTTGATCTATTGTGGAACATCAAATTGTTGCTTAGATAGATTGCACTCTAGTTATCGGAGTAGAGTGTTGCTATAAATTGAGACACATGTAACTTCTTTAACATGCCTTGAATCCATATGCTTTTCTTCATTGCCTAAGTGGCATCAATATAATCTGAATCTAGTGTGGACAAAGTCACAACAGTCTATAACCATGACTTCTAGCTCATCCAATTGCTGTTGATCAGGAATTGATAAGCTCTAGAAAATTTCCTGTTGTCTTTATCCCTATCTTTTACTATTGTCTTCATATGCGTTGTAAGAGTCTAAATATTCCTTCACTAGAACTTGCAGTACTCCAAAGCCACATCAGTAGTGTCTTTCAAGTACCTTAGGAGATGCTTCATAGCCAACCAATGTACTTGCTAAGAACACTAATGGCATGGGCAATACCAGGACATGAACACATCATAGTGTACATGACTGAACCAACTGCAGTTGAATATGGAACATTATCCATTGTTTGCTTTGCTCATGCTGACATAAGGCATTGACTTGCAGAGAGTCTAAAATGATTTGTTAAAGGTTGAGTCAATGGCTTTGCATTTCTCATGGCAAATTTGTTAATTAGTTGTTTCAAATAACTACCTTGTGACAATGCTAATGAATCATTTTTCTTGTATGTGATGATGTTGATTCCAAGTGCTATATTAGAATCACCCAAATCTTTCATATCAAACTCTTTGCTCAAAATCTTCTTGAGTCATGATATATTTGAAGTTGAGCTACTGATCAGTAACATATCGTCTACATAAAGGAGGGAATAGATGCTTTTGAGTACTTCATTTTCCCTGAAATACAAGCATGCGTCATAGAACTCATGTTGTATACTTGCTCAAACATGAATGTGTCAAAACGTTTGTACCATTGACACGATGACAGCTTCAAATCATACAACAATTTCTTTAGTAGATACACCATGTTTTTGACTTTATGCACTTCATGTTCTGGTGGCTGCTCCATGTAAATCACTTCTTCCAAGCAGTTGTGAAGAAACTCTATCTTCATGTCCATTTCTTGTAATTCCAAGTTATACTTAACCACAAGCGCAAAAATACTCTTTTATGTTCTTGTACTTCATCACAAGTGAGAAAATTTCATTCTTATCGTCTTCCTCAACTTGTGTGAAGTCTTTTGATACTAGCCTGGTCTTGAATCGAGGTTTGTTGGGACTAACCACACCTTCTTTGATCTTGTAAAATCATAGACACGGCTTTTGATCCTTAGGTCTTTGAACCATGATCCAAGTTTTGTTCTTGTACATCGACTCCATATCATCTCTCATGGTTTTCTTCTATTTTTTTGATTGTGATCCAGCAATTGCATCTTGATAGTGGAGAGTCTTCTTCATCTGAATCTCCAAGGCTGATATGAACGCGTAGACAAGGATCTTAAGTTATGCAGAGAAACCATATTTCTATGTAGGTCTTGACACTCTCTCATCTCTGTATTTAATCAGAAAGTAGTCATGTTGTTGTTGAGATTGCTTTGATATGATGTGACTTGCCACTTATTGTTCGTAATTGTCTTGCTCTTGACGAGTTTGATCACTTAGTGACATGATTTGGAATTTGTATGTCCTAATATCATGGTGACTTAAGGTGCTCTTGACTTGGGCTTGTGGATGAGTGTCATGAAAAGCTGACTTCACATGAATAATATTTTCTAAGGTTTTTTAGGTTAGTAACACTCACAACACTAGAATTTGTATCAGTCCATGATTGACAAGGAAAAATAGTCTCATTAGATATCACGTCTCTACTATTGATAATTTTAAAACGGTTACTTTACCTTACTCAAAATCGATACCTCTTGTACCTTGCGAATACCAAGGAACACGCATTTGATGGCTCTTGGCTCCAATTTGCTTTGATTTTGATGAACATAGGCAGAGCATCCAAACACTCTAAAGTGATTGAGATCGGGTGACTTTGAACTCCATTTTTCTTCCGATGTACTCGACTTAATGATACTTGAAGTACATTTTCCACAAAATATGCAACATTGACTATTGCCTCATCCTAGAAAGCCTTAGCCAACCCGGAATCGAATAGCATGCTTTTTGACTTGTTTAGTAATGACCTGTTCATTCTCTCAACAACTCCGTTTTGCTGAGTGGTTAGTCTCATAATTTTAAGCCTTTAAATACTCTCATTGGCACAAAACTGATCAAACTCAACATTACAAAACTCAAGATCATAATTTGTTCTTAAAGTTTTAGCCTTTTTATTAGTCAAAATCTCAACCAAAAAATTCCATTTTTAATTTTTCTCAAAAGCTTGATTTTTGTGTTTCAACAAATATATCCAAACTATTCTAAAGAAATAATCAATGATAGATAAGATATAGAAGTTACCACCATGTGTTGTTGTCATTGAGGTCGTCACAAATCTGAGTGAATGTATTCAAGGACTTGTGTAGACGTGTGTTTTCCGGTTAGGAATTTTGACTGTGTTGTTTTGCCAAAATGCAATGCTCGCAAAAATCAAGTTTGCTGACTTTGTTCTTTCCGAGCAAATTCTGATGGCTCATTTGTTGTAAATACTTCTCATTGATATGACCGAGACTTATGTG